TCATTTAATCACATTCAAGAATATTTCAAAAGATGTTGATGCTTGAAAGTCCGATTTCATTGGTAAAGATAGTCTACCACCCTTGTTTCAAGAGCAAGAATTTCGGGATAATTTACAATTGAACTTTGGTATTAAAATCATTAATCAATTACCATTGAACTGTTCTTTGTAGAAAAGAAAAAATTTATGACTAGATTGCAATCAATTTTGTATTAAATGGGTGCAAAATGTGGGGCGGGAATCTCAAGTAAGCGTGCGTACTTCTTGGTCATTCTTAGATCGGCTGTTACGTAATGAATAAATTGTGAGGCATAAACCATGTACATATTCAGGTGATTAATGTAAATTGCTACATAAAATAGGAAAGTTGACGATAGAAAATCTGACATTATCCCATGTTAACCCCTAAATCCCGTGGATATAGCTCAAGGGATATCGTTTTCATATCCCACACTTAAGTGCAGTTATGACGTCACAATGGTTTTTAAGGTAGTGTGATGAAGTAAAATATAGCAGAGTCCCTATAAAACAGTTTAAAAAATCGGCTGTGAAGTATTAAAAATGGGATAAAAAGAATCTCCCATGATTTGTAGTTGGATATGATTTTATCCAACTTGTTGTGTGTTTTTATACCCTCGCCAAGGCTCGGGAATAAAAATCACACAACTCGTTGGATAAAAATCATTTCCAACTACAAACCATGGAAGATCCTATATTTATCTCATTTATCATGAAGTTTTGTTGATATTTTGCCATCAATGTCATTTTGAAGTAAATAGGATATGTGGAGATAACGAACAGTATTCGATCTCAAAAATCCAGTTAATCATCACAAAATAGGAGCGGAGCACACATGGACTTCCAAAACATCAAAGGTGGGATCAGGTACCATGGAGTAAAACATTTATACAAAAACAGATGTGTCAAACTATGCGCTGTCTTGCATATCGAGTTAGATGGCATATCTCAAATCAAAGTCAAAAATTGTTAATTGATTGAATTTGAATCAGAGGCTTCAACATGAGAAATCTTTTGAATATAGAAGTTTTTTAAAGCTTATAAACAACAGGATACAATAGGTACCAATGTTTGTTTTTTTTTTACATTAGATTAATCGGAGACCTTGTATCCAAAGATTAAATACATGTTGTCAATGAAAACTTAATCGTCTTTTTACAATCAACTTCGGAGTACGGTCCGTGTAATACTTAACAATTCAAATTTGTAAAATGATTTCGAGTTTTGGAATGTTAATATAATGGTTTAAATCTCTAAATTTAAAAACTTCATACTTATTTGGTATATTGAAATTTTATATTTAAGTTTAAAATCCTAAATTTTCAAATTTCAAGACAGGTTTTGGAATTTTAAATTTTTAGATTTTTACCTTAAACATTCAAATCTCTAATTTCAAAAACAAATTTTGTATTTTAAACTTTTGAGTTTTTAATCTACCGTTTGATTTGAAAGTTTACGCTTCAGTTTAGTGCAGTTTTACGACTTTTGATATTTGAAACTTTACTTCAAACCTCTAAATTTCAACTTTCAAAACGTTTAAGATTTTTTGAAATTTAGAATTTTGATTCAAACATTCAAATAACCAAATCACTTTTTTTTAGCTATTTACTTCAAATATCCAAAATATCAAATTCCAAACCTTTTCGAATTTTGAAAATTTTACAAAAACACTTTTGGTTAAATAAAAGATCTTTTAGATAGTTAGAATATTGAACTGATATTCAAAATTCAAAACGGTTTTTGAAATTTGATATTTTGGATATTTTAAGTAAAATTCTAAAACTCAATGTGTTTAGGTTATTTGAAATTAAAACATTTGAATAAATTCCTACAAATCTCAACCGTTTCAAAGTTTGATTTTAAAAGTTTGAAGCTAATTTCAAATAATCAAAAAACGACAAATATTACTGAACTATAGATTGTTAAATGTAAACTTCCTGGACAAACGGTAGTCTAAAACCTCAAACGTTTAAATTACAAAAAAAATTTTTGGAAATTTGAATTTTGATTTTTTAAGGTAAAAATCGAAAATATTAAAATTTCAAAACCTGTTTGGAAGTTTGAAAACTTTTATTTTTGAACTATCATGTTAAATTTCAATATACAAAATCAGTTTGAGTTTTTTTTTAATTTGAACTAATATATTAACATTCTTAAACTCAAAAACATTGAAGAAATTTGAATTGTTAAGTGTTACACGGACCGGGGTACTACTTCAATGTAGAATCAGAATGTTTTGTTTTTTTTTCACAAAAGAAGTTTGCTTATACAAATGACGAAATATTTAAATGATATCCACGATTATTGATGAAACAATTATCGATTCTATGAAAAAGTCTTTTTTTTAATTACATAAGTCACTACGCCTACCCCAATATAAATTGTTGGAAGCTGGGAGAGAACAGGTCAGACGTTTAAAGATCAGACAGGGCATTGCGGTGATCAGAGTAAAATCGTAAATACCATTTGAATTTTGTTTTCTTGTGTATTTTGTAAAAATAAAAAAAAAATCTTTGTAATTCTTTTATAAAATTTCAAACTATAATACATTGTATAAGTTTATCATGAAAATAAAACGGTCAAATTATTATATGTGATAGTTCCTGATAGTTTATGTTTCACTATAAACCAAAAGTTGTCGTGTACCATACTAGTGACAGTAAAGCAGGGAAATCATTTCGATTCATTCAAAGGTTTCCTGGTAAATAGAGTGCACAAACAGGGCTAAACATTTACACAAAAAATATCAAGCGTGTCAAAAACATTTTCAAAAGATATTCATCCTGTTTTATAAACACAATTTTCTATTCTTCCTTGTTCCTGAATGCTCCAGAAATCATTTAACAATTCGCACAAATTCGGAGCTTTCATAATTGTTTTATGCAAGCCATCCTTCCATTGAGTAAGTTTTTCCCCCCGCAAATCATAAATGATATTAATCTTTTTAAAATCAAATTATAGGTATTAAATAAAAATATTAATTAGACACAATAGTTAAATATTTTACACCTTGAGAAATATTATCTCTCATAATTGCAAAAATATTTTTATTACTTTCAAAGAATAGGAATGACAAAGGTATGTTTGCCAAGTCCTATATATTTCTGGAGGAATGTTTTATACTAACTAGTTTTGTTTCAGCTGACTCTCTTTGTGACTGATGTTTAAATAGTATAAGGTACTGGACAGAGATCGTTGTTATTCAATCGCGTCAAACAGATTCCATTTAAATTTACATATCACTTTTTGTTAGTCCATTATTTATACCCTGAATTGACAACGATTTTTTTACGTTATTTCCTGATCATGACAAGGAGCAGCGGGTGTGACCGGTCGGCAGGGGATGCTCAATACTCCATGACACCTGATCCTACCTCTAATGTTTCGGGGGTCTGTATTTGCTCTGCTTTTATTTTGTATTGTTTTATAGACTTTGACACTGAATACTGTTCGTTATCTCCATATCCTTCTTTGATTAAATGACAACAAACTCATATTTATGAATAATGTTTCAATGGATTACATGCTATATGAACCGCTCCCAAATTATCCTCATGTTACATTAGTTGTATGTTAATTGAAACTTATGAATAATTAGGTACTAAAGGCTTGATTACTTCAGATCTAGAAAAGGTAGCATCTTATTTCAAATTCAAAAAATTCAAATATATACATTGTTCCTTCATTATTTACCTCTACTTTAAGTTTTGTTATTGTTTCTAATTTAACTATTCCTAAGACCCCTCGATCTCCCCCTTTTCACTCTCTTCAGCCGTTTGCAAAAGCTGTGATCTTTTTGTGATTTCATATCTTTTTATTGTTTGAGTTTTGATAATAGATCCCGTGAGCGCGTGGTTTAAATTTAAGTGTATCGCATTTTTTCCCTGTATTTTTAATTAACAATTACGATCAACATATAATTTTGTTTTCAAAATATATCCTTGAGGGATTCCACTAATTATATTTAAACTTGTTTGAAAGTACTGGAAAATTCGTAATTCTTACAAGCCCTCAGCATTTTTATTTTAGTAAGTCAAGATTAGGTTAGCCCTTTAAGTTATATAGCGTTCAGCAGATTTACGTCTCAAGTAACTTACCTGATCCCCAGATTAACGGCTGAGTTGTACATAACCTGAGCGATAGGTACCCAACCGGCCATAGGTATTTTAATGTTTAATTTATCAGACTAAGAGTACAAGTTAGTAAGTTAAAGACCTCTTGAAAATCAAAATACATTTTTCATCATCAAATTCATCACGTTACAACAAGTAAAATTTTCAACATCAAATAATCCCACCTCTGATGTTTCACAAGTCTTTGTTTGCTCTGCTTCTATTTTGTATTGTTTTACGGACTATGAGATTGAATACTGTTCGTTATCTCCATATCTTTCATTTGTTGAACCAAATCAATGGTTCTCCAAAATTTAGTACTTTATCAAATTATTTTTTTCTTTTCGATCACGGAAGATGATGAAAAAAAAAAAGAAGGAACTTCCTCAACAAATTTGCCAGGGTGACACATGGCTTACTTATTCTGTGATCATAGGCTTATTAATTCATTTCTGCAGAGTTTTTTAGTCATACTTCTAGACACCAAGATGATCGCCTACCTCCTTCTTGTCGGAGTGTCCTTGTCTGTAGTCCCCGGGGTCGTCTCCAATTGTTGTCTGCCCCTCCAGGTCCAGACATACATGGACGTTATGACGTCACTCTCGGGGAGTCCACAGGAAAAAAGATTTAAGCAAATGGTAAGTTGAAAACAGTACTAATTATGATGTATACATACTGTGACGTTAAAGACAGTAAAACGTAAATATTTCGGTAAAATTAGATATAAAGACATGCATAGTATAAACTTTATAATAAGATAATTGCAGAGAAATGTATTTTCAATGAGTTATACGGTTAATATTTCTTAATATATTTACAATTATGATTCTAATACAATCTAATGTACAACAACCGCACTGTTTGTCATAGATGTTTTCCTATGATGCCAAATCCCATAAAATCGCAAGTATTTATCTTACTCAGCCTGAGGGATACGAAGTCAACATTATACAAGATTTCGCAGCAGTAAGTTAAAAGGTTCTTATTTCTTATTATATCATGGTTAGATAATATTAGCTATTTCCTACAAGATAAACGATGTACCTTTCACGCTTTTCAATAAAGTATAATTTTGAAAAACATTGAAGGATTATTTTAAACTCTTCCGCGTCATAGAAATTATACAATTCGAGAGGAAACCTGTGTGATTTAAACACAGTTGAACCCAGGCAATTTAAAACATTCCTTGTATTCAAATTCAAAACCTACATTTGTACACTCATTACTTTAACTTTTTGTTGGCCTATTTTTGATATATTTCAGTATTTTCATTGGTATGTCACTTAAACTAGCGTTTTTCTGTGTATATTTCTGTGTATAGATTTACATCATCTTTCTATGAAATGGTTCACTTAGTAAAAAACATCAGATAAAGTAAATATCACTGTAGCAATCAAAGAGTCACAACTCTCATAAAATTAAACTGAAAAAAGACTTCAAATACGAAAACTAACAGCGAAGATTTTTCTTTTCCAAAAAAATTAGATTCCAAAATTTGTCGCTATACCGATGTATTTGTATCTCTGGTATATTAATGATTTAAGGAAATAATACCTTATGAACAATTATGCAAACCAACCATATATGCCAATGAACCCATGACAAAAATGATTTCAAGTCCCTAGAGAATGGTTTTGAGAATTGATATGAAAAATATATCAAGATGGAGATTATGAACGATATTTGAACTTTAAGACTATTTAAACAATTCGGATCGGGAGCAGAGCAAACACGGACAAAAACACAAACCAGTGGTGGGATCAGGTGCCAGGTACGAGTGAGTATCCCCTGCCGATCAGTCGCACTTGTGGTGTGTTTCTTGTTATGAAAAGAAATACAGGGGGAAGGAAAATCCTTACAAAATTTAGTGTGTAAATAATGGCCTAAAAATTCGCAATAAAATGTCAGTCAGCATATGAATAAATGATAGGTTTTATGAAACATATGTAAATAACGAACAGTAATCAAGAACAATGGTCCAATAAACAATAGAAAATAGGAGCAGAGAAAACACAGACCTCTGGAACATCAGAGATGTGATCAGGTGCCATGAAGGAGTGAGCATTCTCTGTCGACTGGTCACACCCGCTAGGCCTGTTGTGAATGACGTCACAGTCCGTCATCTTTTTAACATCTCATTGACTAACTTAATATTGATTTTTTTGATTGCTCAGTAAAAAGATTGATGTTAATTTTTTTTACAGAAAAATATATCAATGTAGCGATATAAAGGATAAATGATATGTATTATTCCCATTCTCTCATTAAAAATGAACGTAGAACCTCTCACTATATTGAGCAAAGGCCTTTAAGGTATGTCACTCGTCAGCTTTTTAGAAAAGTGCACGCAGAAACTCTTACTTAAAAATTATTTATCAAAATTCAATTCTTATAAAATATTTATATTCAACAATGTATAGTTTTTAACATTCATCGAAAAAACTGCTTAAAAATCTGCGAAGAAGCAAGATTTATGAGGGACTATTTCTTGTGGTGGAAGGATATTCAGCAGAAATTTCCTCAAATCTGCACATTTATTTAATTTAATGTCTTAAAACTTTAGCCTCACATACTTTTACTCGGAGAATATTTTCCGTTATGATTTTGCAGGAATATTTAATATAGGTCTTAATTTATATATTTAGAACAAGTTTTACACCTTCTCTCAACAAACTTTGCCAAGAAATGAAGATATATTAAAAAAGTCAAGATAAAATTTACACCATTTTTTGCCTGAAAATCACATATTTTGACCAATATTTCAAAATTAACATCACTGACCCCAACTTTTTCTTTCATTATTTTAAAATACTCTATACTTCTGACTGATCAACACTTAACTCCTAAGAAGCTTGATATAAGAAAATATTTTATTGCCTATCTAGTTTTTTAATACCCCAAATATGTTATTTTTAGTGCAAAAAGGTCACACAATAATAAACACGCATTAATTTGCAAGATTTGTTCAATTAAGGAATGTTTTTAAGTTTTGTTTGAGTTATTGGTGTGTGAATCACACAGACTTGTCACGTAGGCATAAAAATATGCCTACGTGCAAGTCTGTGTGATTCTCACACCAATAATTCACACTAAACTTAAAAAAATCCTTATATTTACATTTTACATGTTTGGGAGCAACTAAAATATAATCAATATTTGAATTTCTCGTTTTCCTCTATCGTTGCATTTTTCTAACGTCGCTGCAGCCTCATTGTGACGTCACGTAAACGCACGTTTCTTCGAATATATTTCTACGAGTGAGTATACACGAAAATGGTTTTCAAATCAATTTCACAGTTGGTTTAGAAGAAAAACACAGCGAATGTAAAAATTGATACTGTAAACCAACTTTTATTCGCGACGACTTTATTTCGCGATTTACCAGGGTTAAACTAGTTGGCGACGATGAATTTTCGCGATCAAGCCTTTTTGCATCTGTTTTCAATAGACAAATATACTAGAAGGACCGGTTCGCGGAGAGAAATATTCGCGATAATGAGGCACTCGCGAACTTCGCGAAAATTTCTCGCACGCGAATAAAAGTTGGTTTACAGTAAATATTGTTCAAACTATTTTATGTAAAAAAAAGATTAAATTTGTTAATGTAGTAACATCTGATAAAATAAAATTAGAGATAAAGTAATAAATCAAAGAGTTAAAATTTAAGTGCAAAAAGGTCAATTTAATTGTACCTTAGTAAGATGCACACTGACCCCCTATTTTCTTTGCGATTTTGAGTAATACTATTTGAGTACTTATCCAAAATATACTTCCCAAAAAATCCTTGATTTAGCAAATTTGAGAAGTGACTTACCTTAAATGAAAAATGAAAATGAAAACATCTTATATAATAAAAAATTAATACAGTGTATTATTTCCATAGAAATATTTCATGAATTGTGAGATATAATGAAACAAAAGAAAAATTTGTATATGCTTTTGTTTTTCAGGGCAAGCTATATAACTGGAATCGAACTACTTGTCATGTATCTCCGAGTGGTGCCTTTAACAATATATGTATTCCAGGTCAATATACATTCTAAGCTTAAACTAATTTAATCTGTTTTACTTACATTACTCTCTCTCTCTCTCTCTCTCTCTCTCTCTCTCTCTCTCTCTCTCTCTCTCTCTCTCTCTCTCTCTGTATGTGTGTGTGTATAATGCGTATTTGTTTTTCAATAATGAGAAAAAAACAAAAACAACCTGAGAAGTATAATACAAGATACTCTGCACAGAAACTGTTTAACCATTGCTTTTGGTATTTAATATAATATGCCAAAATGAACTTTAAAAATCCTTTCAAACATTACGAAGATGGAATAGAGGAAATACTGACCGCAAATAAGAGATGGGATCAGGTACCATAGAGGAGTAAATATGGCCTGTCGACCAGTCACTTAGCCTGTGACCCTTAAAGATAAAAATGGGAAAATACGTTAAAAATTTCAATAAAAATAAGCCCAAAAATCATTAAATGACCACAGAATTTGCGAAAAGTTGCACTCAATCAAGACTGTTGTAGTCCTCGTATCATTAACTTTTTTGGCGATAGTTTTCCTTGTTTAAGAAATTGCTCGTATGTAGAGAATGCTATTGTGTTTCAACTCTTCTCCGAAACATAAACCTTCTTTCAATGTTAAAATGGGAAATATCTACATTATAATGGAGAGTTGTCGAAAGAAAATAGTCTTTTTACCTCCACCCCTACAATACGAATGATCAGGCTTTAAATAGATCTGTTTTTTAACCGAGGCTAGTTATTGACACATAAATGTAACAATGATTTCAACAATCCAATTCAGCTTCTCACAAATTCTACCGTTGTTAGCGTGGCCTTGCTTGTAAAATACATCCTATTGGTTACTTGTATTTTATCTGACATCTTTCATACCATTTATTTTTATGGTTTTTGTAAAGGATTTGACTGGGGAATTCTAATCAATACATAACGCTAATGGCTGGTGTGATTGGTGACAGGGGTTGTTATCCTTTTAGGCAGCTAATCCCGTCATGTTTGCAGAAGTCCAATTGTTTTTGCAATATTTACGTTAATTTATGTGTATTTATGAGATTAATCATTGTTCGTTCAACCTAGTTTTATTGCCTTTATAAATTGTATCTTCTTGTCATGAAGATAAGCGAATGAAATAATGAAATATACTTGCAACAACTTGCGTTTTTCAGCTGAAGCTAAACCTGTACAAAAGACTTTCATGGGAGTGTCTCCTGTCATTATTAACTTGGACACCTATATGATTTCGCAGAATAATTTCACATTTTTCTACAGAGTTGGATTAAACTGTACCTATGTTGAAATGGGAGGATTTTCGTCAAAGATTCCTCAAACTGGTACAACTTTCCTTAAATGACGTAAACAAAAAATGAAAAAAAACAACAATCGTTTTTACAATTCATTATATTTTATGATTCCTTTTCTTCACAGATGTGCAGCTGTTGTACGTCTTTTACAACACGACAATGGGAATAAAAGATCGATCTGTCTTTATTCCACCAAAGATGTGCTTCAAAAATGTGAGAATTGTTTTATTGCTTGCAGACATTTTTCGTTTACATGAAAATATTAAAATATACTTTAATTGGTTTTAATTGTGACGTAGCATTGCTTTTGAAAGTGGCTAAAGGGGGAGCAGCTAGACAATAAAAAATCAACTGAAAAAAATTGTATAAAATCGAAAATCCTCATTCGTACGGGGTTAGTGCGATGGTGACGAGGAGGGTGTAATTTTTTCGGTACAAAATTTTCCACATTACCCTTATTTAACTTTACTGCAACAAAGGGATAGGGATCTTTAAAAAAGATAAAATATTATGTTTGGGAAAAGTGAAGGGGCTATTCCCCTTCCGATGCTATGTTTTTGTTGTATGAAATGTTAAATTTGTCAAGGTCTGCGTGAGTGCATAATAAGGGAAAGCAACTATATTTCATCTGTTATCAACAGTATCTTATATTTCTAGTAGTTTAGATTTTCTATTTTATACTCTTTTATATTAATCTCTTTGCAGGTCACAAACATCGACAGAAAACCTTGTTTCCAGCCAAATCACTTCATTAATTATCTTGGACATCCAAATCCCTGTTTCCCTTGAAATTGTTAGAAATCTATTTCCCTTTCCTGTACATAATGTTAAAATTAAAATTAATTAACGAAGCAACTTAACATAATATACATTTTTCCAAAACCATATGTGTCCGAAAATGCTATTTTGGTTATTTAGGATGAACGTAAGATATATTTTTGTATACAACTTAAAGTCCATTCAATCATACCGCAAACCATTTCATACTTTTTAACAAATTCCCAAAATTTATATCATTCTTTGGTAATAAAGTTTTTTTTTACTCCTTCTTATATTGAATCATGATTGTTAAAACATATTTTACAACTTTCACCCTAACCCAACATCTTATTCCAAACCTTATTCAAAACAATAACTACCCCAAACCCTTTGTTTATCATCCTAATTCATTTTCATATACATGTAATTGATTAATCAATATCGACGACACTTGTCTTATAAAATTATATTATACCTAATTGTGAAAATGCATTGTATAAAATACATATAGGATCGATATCGATACGTATCATCATGGTATTGTTGATATCGGCGACATCGACATAGCACCAAGTCTCTTATATGTATTATTTCCAATTAATAATGCTGGTCAGGATCAATATCGATACGATATCGACATAATATTGCCAATATCGTCGAAATCGACGTCGAATTGGTTCTTGGACATGTATGTTCATATGAAGCAAAATTTGTGGAACATCTTATGCGTGAAAAGAAAATAAACACTTGCTGTGGCCTTCAACTCGACATTTAGATATATTGACGACGTTTTTACTTGAAAAAGACGTTAATGATAATCTAACAAGCAAGCTCTATGACAAACGTGATGACTTTAACTTTTCTATCGTCAACTTCCCTTACTTATGCAGCAATATGCAGCAATATGCCTTCATCACCTGCATACAGATTTAGAGTTTACCTATCTCAGTTTATCAGATACCCATGCCAAGAGCATGCTCTACGTATGAACAATCTCTACAACGAGGTAAATTATTAACAAACAAGTTAATGAAACAAGAATTTAAGCAGGCTCGTTTAAAGTCATTATTTCGTGAGTTCTATGAGTCTATGTGATATTATGACCTCTTCAGCAACTACAATTTACCATTTTTTCATAGAAATTGTTTGTCTATTATTTATACGACGGATTTCCCGATCAGGACAAGGAGTACATCGTGGGTGTGACCGGTCGGCTTGGGATGCCAATCCTCCATGGCACCTGATCCCAACTCTGATGTTTAAGTGTTCACTCTGCTCCTGTTTTGTATTGTTTTATAGACTTTTGAACTTGAAACTGTTCTTTATCTCCATATGTGTCATTTAATTCTTATTTTAAGGTCAGACGTGACGTTCTTTAATATATGTTTTGTATATCTTCGTAATGTATGAAAAATATTCAAAATCTTAATAACATCTTGATTTCTAAACCGGTTTCTAAACTTTTTTACAAAATCCAAACCCCCAAAAATTTGAAATTTGAAAATTATTTTTCTTCCCAAAAGGATTATATAAGGAAAACTACCCCTGGTATCTTACAGAAATGCCTGGTACGGTACCTCAATTTTTGTGAGTAAACATGTTTAAGTAGCAATACTTCAAAAAATTTTCTTTTATTAAGGAACGTCTCGTCTGTCCTTAATTGATATTTTGCGATTAGTTTTAAATAAAAGATACCACAGAGTCGAGTCTTACAAACATGTTTATTAAAAGTAATCTAACAACCAAGCTTTACGATAGCTTTATGATAAATCATCACGATTTTAACTTTTAAATCTGCAATTTTCCTTTCTACATACAGACACGAGCAAAAGTATTCGGTCAAAAATGGCGGCGTGTTTACACTTTAAACGGTATTAAAAAAGAAAATGACCTTGCCCTCTTGATATCACATCACAGGAAGTAGATTTTTAAAAATTTAGAGAATTAAGTCACATGATTAATCACGTGACAATATTTTCACCTGCACGTGACTGTAGTTTGAGATATCTGTTCCCTTTTTTATCTTTTACTAGAAAAAGACGTCAATGAATATCTTACAAACAAATTTTATGATTAATCTGATGACTTTAACTTTCCTTTTGCAGCAAAATACCTTTGTCACCTGCATACGAAGATAATATCTTTCAGTGTATTCGATACGCAAGGGCATATGCATGTTTTACATATGAACAAATTCTATAACGATGTAAATTATTGAATATCGGTAGTTTTGTTTAAAGTCATCATTTCGTAAGTTCTATAGTCGATACAATGACCTTGTCAAAAAGCACGGAAACTACGCACGCTAACTCTTGATTCTAACCTACGCTTTACAACCATTTAATCTAATATTAATGACAATTTGGCCATAAAATCTTTTTAGATTAGAAAAAATAATTCTTAAAATTTCTAATTTTTCCTTCCAAAAATTTATTTTTAAGCAAAAAGAATTCAAAAATGGCTTAACGAGGCCCGATCTACTTGATCTGCGCATACGTTTTAACGCAGCGTCGACTCACGCACGTCATAATACCCTTGACTGCCGTCACAGTTGAACACAATAACGTCACAGTTACATTGACGTCAAATTGCGCTAAAATGTATTCGCTGATCTTGCTTACCTGGTAACTCTATAGAATATGCATTGAAAGCTGGCATTCTATTATTTTTTTTAAATATTCAAATTAATAAACAACTTTGGAACCTAATAAATTTTGAGGGATTAATCTTTTGGTACCGATTCATTAATTTTATTCTGTTTTATTTCAGTTTGTGAGTTTAAAAAACAAACACTGCATCTAAAAGTAAACGATTTTAGTCTTTCTCTTTGAACATGTTGAAGTGTTTATGCACACTCTTTTTACTGCGGACTTAAATATGCATGGGCTATCTTCAGTTTTAAAAAGTAAAATAAGTGAATGTAAATCATTTAAATTGAACCGCCGAAATATTTTATTTTTCTATATATTACATGATATCAGTAAAAATTGCAATTTTGTCGCCGTTACCCCCCCCCCTCCTCCTCCCTCTACCCCTTTTCCACGTATAACAACGTCGCGTGTTAAGAGAAAAATAAAGCATGGCTAGAAAATTATTTCATAATGTAAGAATTATTAATTTTTTTAGAAACTAATACATTATTGTAATCGTTTGTTGGCGTTATGTAAACCCATTGCGACCTATAAAATACGAAGCTGGATAGAATAAATCCAAATTTTCTGTTTTGACATGCCCCCTTTTCACTGCAATAAAGGCTACCTCCAATTTTCTTTTCATGTTTTATAAGAAGAATGAAAATTGCATGATATATGTGAAAAATAAAGAATTTCATCATGTATTTTCTTAAATTTGTAAATTTCTTTGTTTATTGAATAGTTTTAGTATGTAATTGTGTATAAAAACACGAAAAATGGTCCATATCTTGACAGTGCCCCCATTTCACTACAATAAAGGCAAGGTAACAAAATTTCATTCTAATTTTTCTAAGCATAAAACATACAAGTATATTTCCAAGAATTAAAATTTTTCATCATTCCTTTTTCGTAATTTTCAACTAGATCGGGCCTCGTTAAAAAATTAATGGGATTTTGAGCTTGAATACTGTTCGTTTTTTCCACATTTTCCAACATTTTCATTGTTTTCTTGACTATTCACTGTAGCTCAGTCGGTAGAGCGCTAGCGCTGTGATCTGGAGGTCAGGTAGCAATTGTTCCTTTGTCATGTGCTTGCCTCTTGAGGTGAAAGTTCTTTGGATGAGACCTTAAAAATTGAGGTCACATGTCACAGCAGGCGTGCCACGATAAAGATCCCTCGCTCCTTGATGGATCTGAGTGCCGAGTATTGGTAATATTTGGAACCCTTTATCGGTATATGTATATGGTGTACATGAGTGGAAAATTCTCGATAGGGATGTTAAACAATAATCAATCAATCCATTCATTGTATTCTTCAAATATTGCAAAGAAAAACAAGGAGAGTAAACCTCGGTGATTCTTGTCAAGATGCGATCCCCAAAACGTCACCAGTGTCGAAGATTTTAAAAATGCGTTATCAAATAAAAAGAAGGGTACTAGTGGATATAAAGAAAATATCCCATAATACTTATTGTTTAATAATGACCTCTTGTTAAAAAAAATTATGTTTTGTGTCATCTATTTTCCGTCTTAAAAGAAAACAACAAAAGCAGTTTTCTGCAGCAAATTAGATTTGAGCACGATAGTTCTTTTTTGCGGCAAATTAATGAGAGATGTCATAATTAATGATCACGGAAGATGATTAAACAAAGAAGAAAGAGCTTCCTCGTGAAATTTGAGAAGGTCGTAATAAATTTCAGAGGGAAATATTTAAAACCCATCCTTGTAAGCAATAAAGCACATTTTAAATTTATTCTGTGACCATATGATTTCGTAAAAGTCGACTTTTTCTGAGATGGTTGCCTTTATCCTTCTCGGGGTTTCTCTCTCTATAGTCCCCAGGTCCGTCTCTACGTGTTGTTTACCCCTCCAGGGCCAGTCATTCATGGACGTTATGACGTCACTCTCAGGGAGCCCAAAGGAAAAACGATTTCAGCAAATGGTAAGATCTTAATAACAGTAATAACAAAATGTACATAAAAAGAATTTAAGGACAGAAAATTGCAGCAAAATTAATAATGAAAGAAATGTATAGTAAAAAAAATTATAAGAAAATAATTTGTAGAAAAAAATGCAATCCTAATTTTTTTCTTCTTTTAAAAACACTTCTGATTTTAAGTCAAGCTATACATGCACTGTTTTTAATAGATGGTTTCCTATGATGCCATATCCCAAAAATTTGCGCAGTATTATCTAACTACACCTGAGGGAGATGAAGTCAACATTATAGAAGATTACCCGGCTGTAAGTTAAGGTTTTTATTTCTTAAAATATATTATAGGTAAACAAATAAGCTATTGTCTAATAAATAAAAAACATATCACTTGAATTTAAGTATATGTTTCAAAATATTTAAAGTTATAATATTTAAAGTTTTAGAATTAAGCTAAACTTAATTAAAAACAAAAAGAAAGTAATATCCTATGGAAAGTATATTCAAACCAACTACATGTACATAATGCTGTAATAAATCCATAACAATAACAGTTTCACGTACCTATATAGAATGGTTTTAAGAATACCTCAAATGCCTTCTCAAAACATCCCCCCAAACGGAGAAAAAAATAAAAGCAAACGGAAACGTACGGATTAGAATTTGTAGACCATTTTACGCCTGTAAACACTTTCAGTTAAAATGTTACCTACAATTACAGTCGAACAACAAATGAATATTTATATTGCGTGATTTGATATTTGCTTTATACTCGCACATGGCCAACGAGTTGGAATGCCGTTAGTAATCGCGAGGTTTGCAGAGGAAATATGTACCATTCAACGAGTTGGATAAAGCCAATATTAATACAGTTATAAAAATTATGTTGATATCATACGACTTTCGATTTAATTTTTAAAGCTTACTCTGTAGTCATTTTATCATATTTCTCTCATGAGAAATGAACCTAGATTTGTTAATGATTTTTTTTATTATTTAGATGTTTATATATGTTCCCAAAGTGAAATTTTATGAAACATTATGAAACAAAAAAAAAATTAATTTAATTTCTTTTTAGGGTAAAGTCTATAACTGGAATCGGGATACTTGTAGAGTATATAAAAGCGGTGCCTTTCAGAATATATGTATTCCAGGTCAATATATACTACACTCATTACTCTCTCTCTCTCTCTCTCTCTCTCTCTCTCTCTCTCTCTCTCTCCGAAGATATGAAAATGATATGCAGAAATCAGGCAAAAAGTCCTGTGAATCAACACATATTTTGGAGCAGAGGGAATATAGACTTTTCTTATTCTATGATGGACATACATGTAACAAAATACAAGGAGCGTAAAGGATCTAATTTTAATTAGATTGCTACAATTTATCATTGAGTCAAATGCTGACTGACGTTTTTAATACTAATTGTTAGTGAATTATTTATACACTGAATTGACGAAGGACTTTTCCATTATTTCCTGATCATGACAAGGAGCACACGGCGCGTGTGACCGGTTGGCAGGGGATGCTCACCCCTCTATGAAACCTGATCCCACTTCTGACGTTTTAGAGGTCCATGTTTGCTTTGCTCCTGTTTTGTATTGTTTTATGAACTTTTAATCTTGAATACTGTTCGTTATCTCCATTTTTTTTCATTTAAGTGGTCTATATTTTTACCCTCTTAATGTAGTTTTCGTTAACTGGCATTGCTTTTATCATTATTTCTCCTCGTTCTTTGTCTTCAGATTAGGAGTTTCTTCTGGACGCATTGTCTTGATTTTTTTATTTTCGCCTTAAATGATACAAGAATGAAAATTATGAAATATTTTTTATTATCCAATTTATTTCTTTCTTCAGCTGAAGCTAAGTTTGTGCAGAAGACTTTTATGGGAGTTGCTCCCGAAATTATTAGTTTGGACACCTATATGCTGAGGCAGAAGAATTACACATTATTCTACAGACTTGGGTTCAACTGTACCTTTGTTGAGATTGGTGCATCTTCCCCCATAATCCCTCAGCCTGGTAAAACTCGAATTTCCTTGAATGCCTAAAAAAAATAATGCAGAAGATATTTCAATATATTTACATTTGCAAATGTTTTCCTTTATATAACACTACTGAAGGCAAGCGTTTTTATAACTGTGTAAATACAGGTACGGGGTCAAGAGGTTATAGATGTGCCGTGGTAATTTCTCTGTGACGTCATAAAGGGTCTTTTAGTGGATTACATACATGCCGTTGGGTTTGAAAAATTAACGCATTTCACACGTTAAAAAAAAGGCAAATATAACGTATGAATAAGTCACAAATGTAAATATATTTCATTTTTTGAGTTTTTGTCTTCAAATTCAATATATTTTACGTTTCTTTTTCTTCATTATCTTCAAATTCAATATATTTTACGTTTCTTTTTCTTCACAGATGGGCTGCAATTGTACGTCTTTTACAACATGACATTAGGAATCAAAGATCCATCAGTCTTTATTCCACCAAAGATGTGCTTCAAAAATGCTAGTATTTTTTTGCAAGATTTTTTCCGCACAAATGAGATTATTTCAATTTCAATATTTCGCTTGGTTACTATTTATGTTAAGAGTAGCTAAGATCTACGAAAGAAAATAATAAAGAAAAAGTAGTTGAGATTTTCTATGTTTATGCTCTTTTTAATTTACTTTTCTTTCTTTGCAGGTCACGAAAATCGACAGAAAACCTTGTTTCCAACCAAATCGCATCACTAATTATCTTGGAGATCCAAATCCCTGCTTTCCTTGAAATTAGAAAATTTAAGTCACCTTTTTGCATGATCCTTTACATTTTAATCATAAGAATTTTTTTAAAATTGTATATATTTTTAAAATCATTTGCGTTATCTGTAAGCAGTAACAGTTTTTTATGATGAAATTTTAAAAAAGTTAAAATAACTATTTCTTTTTAAAAAAAACATGCGCAAAAATATTTTCTTAGATGTATAACACTTGATTAAATCATAGTTATAACCATTTTTCGTAGCATATTTCAGATTTTTGGTACAATTTTTCTTTGATATAAAAATTGTTTTTCTGTTTTAATATATACTTTTTAATTTTTTTTATCTTAAAAACTTACTCGTGGTCTGTTTTTTTCCTTGTCTTTTGTTCTTGGTATATTATTTTTTCCTTTTATTTGATGATAAGCAAGATCAGATGAGTACATGTATCAAGTACAAGAAAATATGTACGCTAATATGTTTTATATGAGAGATTAAAAAGAATACATGTAGCCATAGATCATGCAAATGAGCTGTAAACATAAAAAGGGTTTCTTTATGAAGTTTGATTTCAAACCTCGGATCTTTTTTTCCTTTATAATTAGAATCGAATATTTATTATGCTACTTTAAATCTTTAATATAATAATTTATATCAATATTTACTGCGAATTAAGCGAAAGACTGGGAAATAGGTTCAATTACATATCCTTATTTTGTTTTCGATCAAGCCCTTTTTTTACTCCCCACTTAGATATTAACAGTAGTGAAGGAGAAACTTCAAGAGTAATGTGCAACAATTCAAGGAGTGGTGTAAATCACATGTGGATACTTATAAATTCCAAGGAACTTTTGGACAATTTGAGATCACAAGATTTTACCCAAATCAACAGCTTGCAAAAATTTTGAGTTTTGAACTTAATACACAACCATTCTCCACGATATATTAAAGTCCATGTTTTTCGATATAATTGACAGCTGCTTTGCAATAAGAATTGAACTTGAAAATTAATTTTCCTTGTAATTGGTCATTTGTAAAACCATGTTGTTAAAAGTATTCTGATTGTACACAGAAGTTCTCTGAAGGTGACATGAAAAAGATGCTTGAGTTTCCGATAAACAATATCAATGATGTTTTTGGAGACCAGGTCTTCCAACAATCTATTGGAATTCCCATGGGTAGCAATTGCGCCTTTTTATTAGACTTTGTGCAAAATCTTAAAAATAGGTTGTTAATGATAATCTAACAATTAAGCTCTATGATAAACGTGATGATTTTAACTTTTCTATCGTCAACTTCCCTTACTTATGCAGCAATAGCAATATATCTTTATTACCTGCATACGGAGTTAAGCATGCTCTACGTATGAACAATTTCTAAAACGAGGTACCTTATTGACAAACAAGCTGATGAAACAAGAATATCAGCAGTCTCGTTTAAAGTCAACATTTCTTAAGTTCTATGGTCGATACAATGACATTGTCAGCAAATACATTTTATCATTTAAAAAGTCAAATACTGACTAAAGCTCTTTATATTTATTGTTTTGCCTTTATTCACATAGTGAATTATCGGCGAGTTTTTTCCCCGTTACTTCCCAATGATGACAAGGGGTCCTGAACACAAAGATGATTTATAATCGGTGGAATTTAATCAATGAAATTCTTACTAAATACGAATCAAATGTTATAAGTACTCAGATTGCCATGTCTGAAAGCCAGAAAGTCGGCACATTATGTTTTATCTATTAAAAAGGAACTTGAATTCTTCTGTGGATTAGGAAACAACTTAATGTGTGTATATATATATATATATATATATATATATATATATATATATATATATATATATATATATATATATATATATATATATATAGATATAACCACTGTGTGCAAAATTATTCTCAATTTAAATAACCAAAAGAGTTTTTACATTTTGTATTATTCAATTTTGCAAAATATCGACGCAAAATATATAAAATAACAAAAACATTACAATCAAAAATGTAATATTTCTTATAACATTTTAAAATTCACATTTGCATGTGTTGAAAAAAGAACGTGAAATTCAAAACATGTTTAGTGTAATAAAAGATTAAAGTAAGGAAAAAAACGTTAAAACCCGGTAAAATTAATCGTGGGCTTTAAATTTTATGATCTTCACTTTAGAGACAAACTATTTATAGAATTGCTAGCACTATTTGATACGAGCTGTTGTTTTTTGTGTAATGCATTTGAAAACACAACATTTGCTTCACACATAAGGTAAGATTTTAATTAATTTCGGTTTTCCGGCAAATTAAACATGCCTTGTGTATATGTTCGCCGTTTATTTAATCCACAACCTAAGGATGTGCTTAACACAAAGACTTTTTATCTGAACAATGACATTTTTATTATTTGTTAATTAACCTTGAAAAATTGGACAACGTAACGTTTTATTTCCACGAATAAAGAGGTACTTAAAACATATTTATGATATATTCTCTATAGTTGAGTTTCCGATAAACAAATAATTAAAATAAACGAATCCACACTCTCCTTGTTTCTCGGAACGTAAACCGAAAGTACCTTCCTTTTGTTTTTACATCGTTATGAATTTGATAGCCTATATAATTTGGTCAAAACAATAGGGTGTGGGAAAAAAATCAAGATTTTGAATAATACATATATAGAGCTCAAAATAATTAGGAACGATTGAATATTTTTGGTATCATTATTAAATAAGAACGGGTTTCCCCGAAACAAAAATAAACAAACTGGTTAGTGTAAGTGTTCAAAAAGAATATACATATAATAGCTTTTAATATGGATATGCTTCATTATCTGTTTGTCGTCCGCAAAAGCGTAGCTGCTTGAAATGAAAAAAAAAGTTGAGATCAATCTTATTTTTCTTATAAACAATACAAATATAACAAGAAAACATTGATGTAACCATCAAACGTCGCCCGGGAAATATATAAAGTAAGGATGGCAACTTGTAACCGGTTAATCGATTAATCGGTCGGAACGATGCTAATCGGTTAGCAAATCTGTAATTGGTTCCTCGGAAAAAATAAAATATATGTAAATTTGAGCGCAGTTTCCTTAAAATCCTATTGTGTTTTTTTTTTAAAGGAAAGCGCTGCATAGATTTTTATTTAGTGTTTTTTACACATCTTATAATTAAAAATATTTGGAGATCTCCACATTGAGATTGCACGGTATACGTAGTGGAATTGGTCAATTCGTAAAGTGTTAATTACTGATTTTATAACATCATGCCGTTACCCAGATAGTCCTGTGTTGCTGTTTTTTTAGCTCACCTGAGCCGAAGACTCAAGTGAGCTTCTCTGATCACATTTTGTCCGTCGTCCGTCTGTCCGTCTGTCCGTCTGTAAACTTTTCACATTTTCGACTTCTTCTCAAGAACCACTGGGCCAATTTTGACCAAACTTTGTACAAAGCATCCTTGGGTGAAGGGGAATTTAAATTGTTAAAATGAAGGGACATATCCCCTCGCAAGAGGAGATAATCAAGAAAAGACAAAAATAGGGTTGGGTCATTAAAAAATCTTCTTCTCAAGAACCACTGGGCCAGTAAAGCTGAAACTTATGTGGAAGCATCCTGGGATAGTGTAGATTTTAAATTGTTCACATCATGACCCCTGGGGGAAGGGCGGGGCCACAATGGGGAATCAAAGTTTTATATAGAAATATAAAGGAAAAATCTTTGAAAATCTTCTTCTCAAGAACCACTTGGACAGAAAAGCTGAAACTTATGTGGAAGCATCCTGGTATAGTGTAGATTCTAAATTGTTCACATCATGACCCCCGGGGGAAGGGCGGGGCCACAATGGGGAATCAAAGTTTTATATAGAAATATATAGGAAAAATCTTTGAAAATCTTCTTCTCAAGAACCACTGGGCCAGAAAAAGTGAAGCTTATGTGGAAGCATTCTGGGGTAATGTAAATTCTAAATTGTAGGAATCATGACCCCCGGGGGAAGGGCGGGGCCATTATAGGGAATCAAAGTTTTACATAGAAATATATAGGAAAAATCTTTGAAAATCTTCTTCTCAGGAACCACTGGGCCAAAAAAGCTGAAACATATGTGCCCATGGAAGGATCATGGGGTAGTGTAGATTTCAAAATGTCTAAATTATGATCAGTGGGGTAGGGTGGGGATGCATTATGTATAACAAGGGGGAAATCTGGTCAGAATGGTCAAAGCTTCTCAGGTGAGCGATGTGGCCCATGGGCCTCTTGTTTTTAATTATATTTGAAACTTCACCGTTAAGCACTTTTAATTACAGTATGTCTATATTTTGCCGTTTAAATTAAACTATATATTATTATTATTATAAAGAGCGTTGTAATTAAATTGTAAACAAAGTGAGAGTTCAGCAGAGCTCAAATTTGTCTAGCTTGGAGATCATTGCTTTTAGAGACTGGCCTGTTTCAGCTGGTATTTACGTAGTTTGAACAGGAATAAATTGTATTTGTCTCTTGTAGTAGAGTTCGATCCTTTTCTTCTTGCTCAGACATAGGCTAGTTCTGATTATGGTGATAACGCAGAATTAATTTCTTTAACATCTATTCTGCGTTGGAAAATTTTCCGTCTGGTTTCTCAAGTAAGATTCATGGTTTTCTTAATTTTTCTTGTCTATTGAAATCGAAATAAAATATATTCTTAGGTACAGAAAATCCCCCAATCAAAATAATAAACAGAAAATGTCAAAATGTATATCTTGATACGACTAAGCGGATAATCGGTCGGAATGTTTTGCGGTTAACCGATTAGCAATTCTGCAATCGATTGCCATCTCTAATATTATAAAGTAAGCTATGGAAATGACTCTTGATCATCAAACCGCTTCGATATGTGTGAAATGCTTGCGTCTAATAGATGGAGACGATAGTCGCGAATATTTGGAAAACTTATAGTGGGATAAATGTCAAACAAAAACGATACCAAACTTCAGTTCCTCGAGTAAATGTTGGCTGCATAAAATATAAATTGAAGTTAGACACATGCATCACCTATATTCAAAAATGTATATAATTTTCAATTTTAGAATATAAAATACGAATTGTGCAGAGTACGTTTTTATGCGAGAAGTAAAATTCGATGTTCTAAAAAAGGGACCTGTCGTTGTTTAGATAGTAAATGATAAGTAAATTTATATATCAAAATGAAAAACATATATAATTTTACAGATTCACTTTATGGAAGTAAATATATTATGTATCTCGTAATTTATGAACGGAAAGAACATTCTGATTAACAGTCTTTTCCATGTATGAAAACCTTTAATTTTGAATAACTACTCCCACCCCAATCCCCATATACCAACACTTAAAATTATATGTACAGAGCAGCCCGGTCCTCTGGGCTGCAAAAAAGGTGGATCAACTATACAAAATCAGAAGGCGAATCGGGCACTTATTGAATCTTAGTGTCTATACCGGAAGTGACCCCTATGAAAAGGTTAATTGAGTTAACAAATGGTGAAATTAAACCATTTCAAAATAAAATAATTTTGAAAAAATGATTTTAAAATGGTTTTTTGTCTCATATGCATGAGGAGATTGTCCCAATGCCAAAAACAGATGCCTGTGTTTTAATATAGGTGTAAAACCAAATATTAACATTTGCACAAAACATTTGAAATAATATATCATTTGATTTCAGAGACATGTATACACCGATTTAAGGATAGTTCCATACTTTACACATCGATTAATATATTTTATTTTGTTCTGAAAGTTTAATCAATACATTCTATTGTAACTTTTTTTAAGTGAAATGCTGTACTTTATTCATTGAATGAAAATGACATTCTGTCACACTGTGAAAGGATATCAAAATGATGGCAAAAAATAGTTACATGTTACATGTTTGGAAGTAACTTAAATATACTCAATATTTGATTTTATCGCTGCCCTATATCATTGCATTTTTACGAATGTTACTGTAGCCTCATTGTGACGTTCCGTTATCGCACGTTATCTGTTATCGCCGTGTATATTTCTTTGCGTGAGGATACACGGAAATGGTATTCAAATTAATTTCACAGTTAGCTAAGTAGAAAAACATAGCGAATATAAATAATTGGTAGTTAAAATAATTAATAAAAAATGATTAATTTAGTTTTCTGATTAAGCGTTTGTGTATTATAGTTTGGAGCATTTTGAATTATATATGGGGAATGGTAAAAATAGCCACACACAGAATAAATAAATATTTATTATTCAACAATTGCAAGTTTCTATTATACTTAAAACTATATAAAAACAAAGAATCAATATTTTTATTCATCCAGGAATGGCGTTGGCACCAGGGTCACGGGGAAATTTTGTCCGGTTGGGAATCGCCATAATTGACCATGAATCAAACATGCTTCGCCTAATTCTCGAAAATGAAGTTCCTCCGAGCGACATCGAACAAAAGGCGGTAAAAAAAATCAAAAAATTACAGGAAAAGCAAAAAGACCTTCTTAAGATGGCATCAACTGCTTCTAATTATTCAGACCTGGACATAACATTTCTTTATACTCTGATTAGAAATGTATGTTCTAATGTTCCAAAACCGACAAACGGTTGGGGAGGCGACACAATGCCAGAACCAGGTCATATTTTAATAGGGGACGATATCGAGCGAATTCGACTCATGAGGAATGAAGTATACGGTCATGTAGCAGACACCTGGATGTCAGATACAGATTTCCAGAAACATTTTCAGATTATTAGAGAAATTTCTAAAAGAATGGATACCTATTTCTCATCAAAAAATAAAACAACACAGTTCGAGGTAGAAATAAACCGCATTGAAACAATGTCACTTGATGAAAATGCTGAACAGAAATATGTCCAGAAAATCAAAGATATGGAGGAAAGGGAGAGGAAGCTAGCAGAAAAGATAGTCGAATTGGAAGAGCATTTGACGCTTTGCGTTGCTCGAGGAGATAGTAAGTGTTTACTTTAGTCAAATCAGACGTTTTTCATACTTATTGTTAGTCTGTTATTTCCCGAACATGACAAGGAGCATACGGCTGGTGTGACCATTTGGCAGGGGATGCTTACTCCTCCATGGCACCTAATCCCACCTCTGATGTTTCAGAGGTCCGTGATTGCTCTGCTCCTATTTTGTATTTTTTATAGACCTTTGATCTTGAATACTTTTCATTATCTCCATGTTTCATGGTATATGAAAAATGGAATCATTAAACCTTTTACGATACTTTTAATAAGATCGTTAGATTTGAATATCTTTTTAGAACTCCCTACAAATGGACTAATCTTTGTGTGTTAAGCAAGTGATTTCAACCCTATTTCGAAAGCTAATTCAAATTCTTCAATAATCCTCCTTTATGTATTGATATCATATGTAATTGACCAATCTGCGTTTGTCAGTAAAGTCATTTTGTCATTTTTCACAGTTGAAAAGCTAATTCCATGTTACATGTACATGTTAAAAATGTCATGTATCCGTGTTCTTCTTATTTTTGTTATATCGGTATGACTGACTAGTAAAAATGCATTTCATTGGTTAGCACTTGTTTCATTTAGATTTTAACATTTTTTTTTATATTAATTGTAATTCTACTACGATTATTGCCGAGATCAAAGAAATGCCTCGGACATTATTCTCCAATAAATCACGAACGTCTTCAAAAAATTTTAGATCAGAAAACACATATCAAACCTGTGCGGTTGAAATGTACATTTGACTTACAAAGTAAGAACGAATTACATTGAGACCACATTAATGTGCCGTCTTTTGCAATTTAAACAGTGTATATTGCAGAAAGTAGCTGATAAATGTAGGTTTCTAAAGCGGGGCTATTTCACTGACCTCCCTACTTCTCTATAGAGAAACGATCAATTGTATTTTAAAGCTGCTAAGTAGAATAGAAATAAAGTCCTTGTTGTCGTGAATGATGCAGAATAACCTTTTCGGACTCGAAATGTTGTTTGAAAAAGAAAAGCCTCGGTTAATGCCTTGGCTTTTATCTTTCAAATAACATTTCTCGACCTTGATGATTATTCTGCAACATTCAAGAAAATAACTATTTCTTTATATGCATATTACTTTTAAAAGATTTTTGTCTTTTTTACAGAGGCTTTCAAGATATACAAAAATGTAACACTGAGCGATCCCAATGAGAGTGGTTTATCTATGACACTCACTGATACCTTCCTTAAAGATCTAGGATGTATCATTAATGGAATAGAAAGATTCATTCGGAAAGAGGGTGCGATAGAAAAATGCCTACAAATGTATCAATGCCTGCGTAAAAGAGGAGTCGCAGAAACAAGGAGAACATTCCACAACGTTTTAAATGAATTAAAAAATTTTGCACGGGAATCTCAAAATCTGGTTTGCCCGTTGGAAAATGACCAAGAAATTAACATGATGATATCAATCTTTGATTTTATAATGTTTATCAAAAAATATGAATGCAATTTAGAATGCTTTATGGGATCCCTCTTTATGTGTTACAAATTTCCGATCAACCAGCCACCGGACAATAAAGTAAAGGACGAAATAAATAAAGCTTTCAGCAGTATCATCTTAAAAGATGAACATCTTTCTCTTTACCACTTGCCAGGAGCAAAATGTCTCAACCTCGTGATTCGTGATATAGAAGAAACTGCATTCACAGGTAACGTGTTAAATCTTGTTCAATTTCTTTTGAAAAGCAGAAAATTTAGAAATTTTTGATTTCTGTTAAAAAGCAGAAAATTTAGAATTTTATAAAAGTTTTATTAACTTGTGGATTACTTATATTTGTTGTTTGCTTGCTTAAAGAATTTCAGAGACGCAGAGGAACAAAGAGGAAGGCTGAGAGTGACGCAGAGGAAGACAAAGAAGAAAAGTGTGACGGCAAGTACATCTTTATTCATACTATTCCTACACATTATCAAAACTTCTGTTGGTTTGAATGACATTTCTTGATTGCTCATGTAACTGTTAATATCTCAAAATAAACATTCTTATATTAATATTTTTAGAAGATTTTGAGAAATTTCAGTTAGAGAATGACGAAACCACTATGGAAATAGAAAAGAAATTAGAGAATATCGATATCCTATCGGATGAGGAAAATGGTAATCTTTCATTGAATATTTTTTTTACTTAAGGGCTAATAATGAAACAGAATTAACATTCTCACTAACAGAAATTTAAAAAGCATGAATGCATCTCCAATTACAAAAAATAGACTTTAGCAAAAAGGAGCACATCCTCTCAACAATTGATATCCATGGGAATTTGAATAGAGAGTTGACAGACATGGTCCCCAAATTTAGCATAAATAGTCTCAATCAGAAACGCAGGTACTTTTCTCAATATCAGTTTTATATTACCTCTGTGTACATTCAGGATGTTTTTATTAAATATTGCAAATGATCAATTACGAAGTAAGATGATTCACATGCTCCTTTTAAAAAAATTGGAATTACTTTGTGGTTGTATACTACAAAGTTGCAAAAGTCATAAGTTTTATTACTTAAATCTATTACAGTCTTTGAGAGCAAATCTTCCAACTATTTCTTGAAATGAGTAGGGGTACCGATTGAGCTCCGTTATTAACAGGCCTAATCTGTATTATATGAAGTCGAATTATTAAAAAAAAACTTACATCAGAAGAAAACTCGAGCCCTTAATAAACATTGTCTACAAATATGTTTCTTTTCTATTATTTAAAGTATTTTATTTCAAATGACTTTTATTTCTTATGCAGAGGAAATGGACACAAAAGAGCAGAAAGGATTGAACCTCAGATTGTTTCAAATTGAATTAACGGAAATTGCAAAGAGAGGATGCAATACAATTGTGTGCTCAGATACGGGGACAGGAAAAACAAGAATAGCATTCGACATCATCAAAGACCACCTTAAGAAAAATCCAGAAGGTACAATAAAATTCAACATTTTCACTTCATTTTCACAGTATTTCTCTCTTAGGCACACTTTGGTTTACTCGTTCTTCAAAGTCTTCCATGTATTTTCTAGAAAAAACGTTTTTGAAAAAATATGATTCTTTAAGCCCTACTAAGGAAAATTTATGACCAAGAATTGTCATTTGTCAATGTGTGTGTTTTAGACCATTTTTACTTTCTCCAAAGTCAATTGGACAAGTTTAAGGAGACTATGAACAAAGCATTCTCGAAATAGCTTTTTAAAGAACAAGATACTTTCCACATAAAAAGCTCTATCAATATACTAGATAACTGACCAATATTTTATACTTCCAGAGATATCATCTATATTGACTAGCTCTCTCTCTCTCTCTCTCTCTCTCTCTCTCTCTCTCTCTCTCTCTCTCTCTCTCAATTTTTTATATCAAAGTATCCTCTATAAGCCCAGATATCCGAAAACATATTTAGTGAAAATGAAAAACTCTTGCATTTTGCAGAAAGCGAATATTTGAGTACATTAATCAAATAAATGATATATGAGCAAATTTCTCCATTCCCAAAAATACTTCAATTCTATTTTCTATAGAAGCAAATCTTAATTTATTCATTGTACAATCATTGCTGTTTTTGAGGTCAATATGATGAGCCATCTGAGGAGCTAGCCCGAAAGGCGAATTAAATATTGTATTTCGAAGATTGCTTAATAATCTTACTGACTGAAAAAAAACCCAGCAATAATTGTTTTATTATATGATCCAATGATAACATGATACAACTCATTGCTTGTTTGCATTTGCTGAAGCCCTATCCAATTACAAAAAGAGACGCAGCAGAGTTAAAATGTAATTAAACATTACCAGTCGTATTTATTTGAAATTTTTAAAATTATATTTTATGGTTGCCATGAAAAGGACATGTCAGGCTCTGTAAGATAAATCCGTATATTTACCTTGAACGTCACGTGCAGGTAAATATAACGTTGTATTTTTTTCTACATCATTGGATCTTAGGCAATCAGAAAGATAGGAATTATTTAATCATATAATAAATATCTTTATATAATTGCACTAAGGTTTGTATTTCATAGGATCTATTGAAGAAAGGTTAGAATTGTGGTTAATTTTTATAAAATGGGAAATATGATAAATTTTAGATCTATTGACTGGGCTATTACATTATTTTCCTTGGATATTCCGTCACCAACGATCAATGTGATAATGAATAAATTGCCAATTAAACTGAGTACTTTTATGAAAAGAAGTATAACCAAGGTGTCACAGGTGAGCATTGTGATGTAGGACATTTTTTCTGCGCAGACAAGAATCTGTTTTTCTTATAGAGCTATAAAACATTGATCTCACAGAGTGATCTTTTGTGATTTATTTAATTTTGAATCTTTCATTTTCTTATTAGACACGATTAATGATGTTTTTATCATATAATTTTATCTTTTCTAGGACATGTTGGCGTTTTAGCCAATAATGCAGTATTAGTTGCTCAGCACTATAAAGCTGTCAAGCTATTATTACCTGAGTATGAAGTAGGTCACATTAAATTAAATTTTCCATTTAATGATATTTATAACTTTAAAAAATGGTTAAGAATATCTAAAAAAAAAAAAAAAAAAAAAAAAAAAAAAAGGTCTAAAAGAGGTAACGAACAGTGATCGGCTTGAAAAAAAGCAATACAAATCTGTAATTAGGTTATGAAATATCTGACCCTTAGAAATAAACTTTGTGGGATCAGGTACCTAAGAGAAGTGAGCGTCTTTTGTCTGAAAGGAAAATCCGCTATTACCCCCATATATTGTATGGTAGCCTGAGTGATCCGTAGATGTTTAGCAGAATTATACAATGTAAAATATCATTCAGAATTTAAAAAAAAAATTACTTCAATGAGAACAATTACAAATAAAGAGTAAGATACGCGTACTGAATCAATAACCAACAAAATTAAACAAATAATTCCAGCACTATTAATAATTTGACCATAACGAAAGATTTCTACATGAAAAAATAATCATTTAACTTGATATACATCCCAGGTAACTTGAAAAAAGAGCACGCCACAGAATCTGCCACACCTGCTTTATATTTGTATTTTTTACTGATTATAAACGACAAAAACTTACTAGTAATTATTATGCTTAATGTATCACCTATGACACATTGTGATTATGTCTCCAAACTTATTTGCTTCTTGGGTGCTTACTCTGAAACCGAGAGGCTACTGACGAGTAAAATGATATTACGGGGAATTCAACACATTGTTTTAAGTCTGCGTTTTGTTAATTCGGTTGTCATAACAATGACCTTATGAACGAAAATAACCTATAGACAGGTCGTATTTTGGCTTATAATTACTTGTTTCGTCCTGATTGTAATGTCTTTGATTTTATAATGCATTTCACCACGGAATATTCCTTCTACCTGATTGGTACATAGGGCTCACAGTAAGATTGATTAATCCCCTGTTCTTTGATGTGTATACGGCGGATGTGAACGGTCAGCGGGGGATGCTCACTCCTCCATGGCACCTGATCCCACCTCTGATGTTTCGGAGGTCCGTGTTTGCTTTGCTCCTATTTTGTATTGTTTTATGGAGATTGAATATTGTTCGTTATATCCACATCCTTCTCGTAGCTACTAGTGTTCTTTTCTTTTACCTTCATTCATGTACGAGGGCTGTTCAATAAATTATGTCCTGAACTCTTTGAAATACAACACAGATATCATATGGCATTAAGCTTGCCTTTCTCTCATGAATGAATCTTTAATGAATTGATATCAGTTCATGTGACCATTTTTCCTCTAATATTTTCAAATATATATTTGTGAGAAGCTGGAAAACAAGGGCTATTCGAGACACTGTATTACAAAATAAATGGTAAAGAATCAGTAAACTAGAGAGAAATGAAACGCTACATTAAGGCTGTTATAAAACTTGTTAAGAATCCCAAATAAATACTGAAATTTTGTGAAATTTACAGCAACCAATGTCTGTATCATAGACACATGTACAGGTGGATTTCTTTGAACAATAATGATAAAATGGACATCACAAAATGGGGACCGTCTTTGGCGACAAGGCCGTGCAACAACCAATGTTCTGTTCACCAAAATTCAATAAATTATTACTTATGTTGTTTGATTGACTTTAAGACACAAAGAAAATTATATTGGCATAAATTTAGTGATAGTTCACATTATTTTAAAGAAACTTTTGAATGTGAGAAAGCTTAGTACTCCACAATCCCTTTGTTTTGAAAATATGAATAAAAATGACAGTGTGTAAGAATATCTAAACAATTACTTTTAAAAATCAGAAATTGTAGTTATCCAGATTTGTATGATATTCACATAGATACTGAATCTTGAATCTATTGGATTATATCATCAAAACAAATTACAATAACATGCACTTGACAAAAACAGCAAAGGTCTGAAAAGAGCAAAGAACTATAAGAGGACAAAGAGAGTTTAGGCCTATATGCCATTTTCTTAAATATAAGCTTGCTTGTTGATCAAATTCTTATTTGGAGGCAGTTCAATTTCTGGAGGAGTCTAGAGAGCAAACGTTTTACAGAAAAATCGAAAGGTTTATGAGTGGAAGAAGCCAAAATCAGGAATCTACTTCATTAAATTTCCTCATGACAGCGTTCAAACCCACACGCCTTGAAGAGTTTAGGTGTTTGGGGATAAACAGGAAGTTAATGTTTTGCTACACCAACAATATTCTCCAGTTCTGTCACCCTTTGACTTGCTTCATTTTCCAAACAAAAAAAATACCTTTCAGCAAGAAGAAACAAGACTATGAAATCATTGGAGGTCCGTGTTTGCTCTGCTCCTATTTTCTATTATTTTATGGACTTTGATGTTGAATACTGTTCGTTATCTCTATATCCTTCATCTGCCATATTCCAGTATACGAAGGATTATACTCAAAATGAGTTCTAAAAACAATCGGAAATTGGATAAGAATGTTACGGACATGTGTTTCAATACAAAGAGAATATTTGAATTAAATCTTTTAGACTTAATCATTAAAGGGCGTCATAATTTTCTTTCCGAGCAACGGAAACAATATTTATTGAACAGCCCCCCGTAAACTTTTAAAGCAAAAATTAAAAGAATCAAAGATTGCTAAAACTGTCGTCATTTTAATATCTTTTTCTATTAAAACACTCAAGATATATTTATACCAATTCATTCCTGATCGATTTGATATTTATATATTGTTGTCAATTGATAAATATTTTCCGTAAGATTTTATGTGATTTTAAAATATGTTATTTTTTATGTTTAATCTAGTTTTCTTTTTCTTTCCTTTGAAGGAATCGACAATGATGTTAACTGGCAGCAGCAAGCTGAGCAAAAACTTGCATTTATTTGCTAAATTTTTGCCAATTATCATCATGACCCCTGCACTTATTTTGAATACAATAGACTCGGGTAATGATCCTGAGATCCTCAGTAGTTTCACACTGCTCGTGTTTGATGAGTGTCACCATACATATGGCGAGCATATCTTTAATAAAGTTATGCGAAGATACCACATAGAAAAAGATAAGGGATACAGCGTTCCACAAGTAAGTTAGGATATCTGAAAGAAACTATGCAAGATAGCTAGCACAAATGTCACAATAAATCTTGAATATATTACAAAACAAATACATCATACAAATACCATAATTGTAACAACACACAAGACAAAAAATAAAATTTAATGACTATTGTTTATTAGATATTAGGTCTAACAGCAACTCTTGGGACAGGGGCAGCGATCTCTTTAGAAAAAGCCAAGACACACATCATTGGCATTATGGCAAATCTTGACGTAGAGGAATTGTCTATTGTCACAAAAGAAAAGGAAAATTACGATAAATTTTTGAAGAATGTAAAAACAGGTGAGAATCATTAATGGAACATCCTTTATTGAATTTGCAGTTATATAATTGTATATTATTCATCAGCAAATACACCCTATCAGTAAGTCAAATGCAAGCTGACATTTTCTTACATACCGGTATTGCTCGGCCATTATTTTTACACTGAATTGTGTTCTCATTTTTATGTTTAACCAATCATGAGAGGATGCTTACTGCTTTATGGCACATGATCCCACCATTACTTCTTTCGAGGTCCGCATTGTTCGTCTCTAAATTTGAATTTTTTTCAACGGACTTGATAAGTGTTCTATATCTCAATATTCTTTTCAACATTTTTTTTTCACGGCTTAAATATTATGGTTGAACGTTTGTAAAGAATATAATTAATTTAATTGTCAATATTTTCTGAATGCTGCTCTACATGTATAAATCTGTTTAACCTCTGCGATACTTACACCTATAACCAATTGTTAGTTTGCTTTGTACAATTGCCAAACTTATGCATCTTTACTATAACTGTGAACAAGTATGTCTCTCTTTAAGAAATCATCCAGCTTCCAAAGCAGCCCATAAAGGATTCAGTGGATGAGGTAATTGAAACTTTTATGGCGGAGCTGGAGAGGAAAGTTCAGATGGCTAAAGGTAAAAAACAACGCTCCGTTTATTAAATATATATATACGACAGAGAGAGAGAGAATAAGAAAAAGAGAGTCGTCTCTCAAGCTAAGAGAATCGATTTGGTAGACATTATCTAGTAGTTATTTCGAAACTTATATATTTTTAGGTAATTATGTTTGTTTGCCTGTTAAACGTTTCTTAAAGAGTTGTTTACCTATTTTGGGAGGCAAAAACTTGCCGTAAGTGAGCTGCAAATTAAGATTTGTACTCTGCATTTATTGCCTCTGAGCCATGAAGGATCTTTTTTTTGTCAGCACATACTGTAACAGATTTTACAGTTTCCTTCGAACGACAGACTCCAAACCTCATCAATTAAATGAGAAAAACTATCGATAATTTCTATCACTTATCATCACAATGTAACTATTTAACTGATTCTGTATCCGTAAATTATATATCTAACACAGAAAATAAAAACGGACTACATAGATTATGTACATGACTGTACAGTATTGTTTTGATACGCTTTACACTCGAAGATATGTACAGCATATAATATATGCCTTTGTCGAAAAATGAAATGTATTTAAACCTTGATGTTTTTACTCTTAGAATTTAAATCTGTTTATTTTAGATTTTATTTTCTAGATCATTTAAGTGAAAACGATGAAGATGAAGAAGCAATGAGGGATGTGATCTTAGGGATTCCTGACGATAAGCGCTCCAACCAGTACATCACTTGGTGTAAAAAGCTTGAAGAAAGAGCCCACCCACTAATGGGAAAAAACTTACCATTATCTACAGAAATCAAGCTGTACGCTAAATATTTCAAGGTAAGCAAGTCTGAAAATCTCTGTTATAGTGCTGCTACATTTGTATGCGAAATTCTGAATGTCAAAAAGTATGTGCAATTTATGGTCAAAACCAAAGAAGAAGGTATGGTTTCCATACAAATTTTGCCCTGTCATTTTCTAAAAAACGAAACTGGTGCAAAAGTTGAAAACTCATGCTTTTTAAATAATTGAAATTCAAACATGAAAAATCATACGAGTCATTTTTCTCACATGTGTTTTTAAATGCTAATTATGACGTCATAAACATATGCATTTTCCCGTAATTTCATAAAAAGTTGCAGAAGACACAAATTTTCAATGGAATTTTCTTTCAGATAACATTGTCCACAGGCATCGCCCACAAAGATCTTGAGATATATGATTTGTTATTGAATTTTGCACAAAATATCAAAAAATTAACGTGGGCGACGGCTGTGGACACTGTTTTCTAAAGGAAAATCACCCTTGAAATGTGCCATTTTGAGGCTTTTTCTGTTGAAAATAGAGAAATGCTTCACGTTAGTGACGTCATATTTGCAGAATGGTAAACCTTCATGCCATATTCTTTCCTGTTTTATCAGAGTCATTTATCTAACTAATTTTTAAGCCAGTTTCAAAATTTTTTGATGTCATTACATTTTTAGGGTGCAATAAAGCTAAAACCATACCTTCTTCTTTTCGTAACAACAAAACATCAGGTACATGTATTAGGATAAACAAATTATTGAAATTCTTTGATCGATAATTGGAAAGTTTTGTGAATGATAACTCTAGAATAAGCTATATTTATAATCTTATAAACAATTTATATAAAATTAATGAATATGCGAGGAAATCTTTCAAATACGAATTTGTAAATTTAAGACTATAAAGCTTGACATAATGTCACTCTTGATCTCTTAAAAATGTTAACAAACATTAACCTGTCTTTAAAGTCTATAAACACTTAACGTAAGCAATGCAGAAATAGGAAGCCCAGAAACCCTCTCACTTACCCACCCTCCTAGCACCCTCTAAAAATCTCAAGGGGAGCTCCACTTGGTTCTATCTGCAGATATTCAAGGCGCTATCACCATGGTCATTTCTCCAATTTATGTGTCTTTGTTAAAGGTTTCGTTTGACTGGAAGTGGTTTCTTTTTCCCCTGGAATTCTTCCGAAGTTCAAACCCGGGCAAGAAAGGATGTGAACAAGCCGTCATTTTGATTTTGCAATATTACGGGTATCTTATTTTATATTTAGCAGCTTCTTCCTAAAAATGGTGTAGCCAAGATTTCTTAAAAATGCATGTGAGGATTTGGTTTGGAATACATAGAAGAACCTAGCATGAAATATGAATTTAATAGTAATCCCCTCAAATAAAATGGTACTAATTGCAAACAAATAAAGCATTGAGCTCTGAAAACGGAGGTTCGCATAGACACCTTGGCAAAGTGAGCAACCCGTCACCCCCATTTGCTCTTTGTTATAATCGGGTATTTGGAAAACTTCGTATACAAATAAAAAAAAATTATCTAACAAGAGAGCTTAATTTTTTTTGTAGATACTGAGCGAATGCTTGGAAATTAACCTTTGTTTACGCGGTGAAAGTACCCTTCTTGCCCTGGAAGAAAAACTAGAGCGTGAAAATCTAGGGAAACCATCTCTAGTTACAATTGAAAATGACCTTGCAAATCGGACAGAAAGTAAGGAAAATATACATATCATCCTTTCACATAAATGTTTTAGATTCTTAAAGTTCGCATTTTGAATTAATTTTTTTGATATAGTTTAAAATCGCTGAGAAAAAAAAGTATGTATTGTCATGATAATAAAAAAAAAGAAATTATATAAATTTGTAATTATTATAATCATGACTTTATATAACTTTGGTAATATGTGTTTATTTATCAGATATGAAGAAAAAAATGACAGAAATGTTCACTCACCAGTCAAAAGACCGACCCATTGACAAACTTTTGAAACTACTTCAAGAGAATGTTAAGCAGGATTCTGTAATTATCATATTTGTCAGAACACGAGAACTTGTGTTTTGCTTAGAAGAATTTTTAAAGCGGGAAAATTACAAATTTGGACGACTGACAGGTCAACAGTCAGGAGACGGTGCACCAGGTAAGTAGTCACGTGACAGGACAACAGTCAGGAGACGGTGCACCAGGTAAGTAGTCACGTGACAGGACAACAGTCAGGAGACGGTGCACCAGGTTAGTAGTCACGTGACAGGACAACAGTCAGGAGACGGTGCACCAGGTAAGTAGTCACGTGACAGGACAACAGTCAGGAGACGGTGCACCAGATAAGTAGTCACGTGACAGGACAACAATCAGGAGATGGTGCGCCAGGTTAGTAGTCACGTGACAGGACAACAATCAGGAGACGGTGCACCAGGTAAGTAGTCACGTGACAAGGCACAAGGTAAATGATCAGATAAACAGACACTAGTTAAGTAATCAGGTGACTACCACAGGAAAAGGCATAGTTAAGTAGTCAAGTCAGGGGGCTAGGCACCAGGTTGGTAATCAAGTGAATAGGCATAGTGAGAAGACTTAAAGGAACGAACAGCGATTGAAGTCATAATTTTGGCAAGTTCTGTTTGATTCAATAATTTTATCAGCAGCAAATATAGTCTGTCATTAAAATGCAGACTGATTGTTTTCTTATCCTAATTGTTATTCCATTATTTACATTCCGAATTTCTTCAGATTTTCCCGTTTTCCCAAATGGAACAAGGAATGCTTTCTCCTCCATGGCACCTGATCTCGACACGGATGTTTTTGGAGGTCCTTGTTTTCTGTGGTCCAAATTTGTTTGTTCAAATGGACTTTTGAGCTTGAATTAAATATTATACAATTATTGCTGTTTTTGAGGTCAATACAGATGGCTAAATCATTGTATTGACCAAAAAAACAGCAATAATTGTTTTATTATATGATTCACTGATAAAATGATAAAGCCCATTACTTGCTTGCATTTAATTAAGTCCTAGCCAAATACAAAAGAGAAGCAGAGTTAAAATGTAAATAAGCCTTACCAGTCGTTTCAATATTGTTTTTTTTTAACAATTTTAGTTGCCGTGAAAAAAAATATAATGTCATTTATTTTTATCGGATAGATTTTGAAAGGAAGAAGTATTATCAGGGAAAACTGACTGCCAAAAAGTAAAAATTACCGATCAGTAAAAGTGTTGGAGGGGTGTCCCTGCATCCCCTATTACCACCCTTACCTGAAAATATATATTCGCTTATGTTTTGTTCACATGAAAATAATCATAGTCGTTTAAATAGCTTTCCAAAACAATTTGTATCATTTTGGAATTTCCCGATCTATTTTTAGATCAATGTAGAGGAATCAATTCTTGTATTGACCTGGAACGTCACGTGCAGGTCAATACAACGTAGTATTTTTCTAACATAGTTGGATCTCAGCCAATCAAAAAGATGGAAATTATTCAGTCATATAATAATTGGAGATATTTGGCGATATATATAGATATCAAACTGTATTCAAGCTCAAAGTCTATTCAAAGAATACAAATCAGAAGCAGAGCAGGCAGGCACAGACCTCTAAAGCATCAGACATGGGATCAGGTGCCATGAAGGAGTTAACATTCCCTGCCGCTCTGTCACATCCATGATCCATGTGTAAACGAGAAAATGGGAAGTGGGAGTCGTAGACAATTCATTCTTTTTCATCGTCAACCTTCCTTATTTCTGTAGTCTTATCACGTCTATCATCTGTAAATAATGGACTAACAATTGATATGACAAATTTTAGTCAGTATTTGACTCAATGTTGGGTTGCTGACAACCTCATTGTATCGACTGAAAAACTTGCGAATCGATGACTTCAAACTAGACTGTTGAATAGTCTTTCTAATATCCATATTTTATTTGAACAAGGTTGTTAAAATCCCTGAAAACACCAACTTATCTGTCATTAGCCTGATTTAATAACTGATTGTACTCGAGGAACGCTCTGGAGTAGGAAATAAGATTAGAGATTTAAACACCATATGTAGATGATAACATGATATGACTTCAAATGTACATAAATAAGGAATGTTGATGATCAAAAGGCTGGAATTGTGCACGTGGTGTCTAAAGACCACTGGGATACTAGTGTATCGAATCGACATATGAATGAATGTTACAAAATCCTGCTATGTAGGAATGCAAAAACAGGTCAGACAAGGGACCAAAGTATGTACATGTAATCAGATGACTGGGCACCAGATATGTAACAGGTAGGAAATAGAATAGTAGGCAGAAGGTCTAGGCATGAGGTAGATTATTACATGACGAGACCAAAGGTAAGAAATCAGGTGATTACGTACATGGGTACCAGGTAATTAATTAGGTGATTAGGTGCCATGGTCGGTAATCAGGTGTTTAGGCTTCAAGTAAGTTATTATTTGATGAGGTACAGTGTTAGTTATCAGGTGACTAGGCACGGGGAATCGTATTCAGCTGTAGGTGACTAAGCATGAGGAATAGTTATCAGCTGCAGGTAACTAGGCACCAGATAAGTATTTGGGTGACTAGACACAAGGTACATATTCATATAACGAGGTAAATAATTAAGTGACTAGATTCCAAATTATATGTCTATACACTAGATGAGTAAAAATTCACAAGGTCATACTAGTTTGTAGGTTCTCAGGTGACTAGGCACCTGGAACATACAGGTTATCTAGAAAAGCCTTCAGTTACTAACTTAATTCATTAAGATATTTGTTTTGAAATTTATATTAGCATTTAGCAAATTTCCTGATTACATCGTTTTTTTTCATTTAAAGTACGAGTAAAAATCGTAAGCGCTTTAAAAGTTGTAAAACAAAAATGACCATAAATATTCCATTTGATGTCATTCTCATGAAAAACATATATTAGATAAAAAGGAAAGACTTTTGAAAATATTTAATTATACCAAATAGTAGGCTTAAAAAAAATAAAATGATACGGAGAACAAAAAAATATTTTTATAAAGAAATAACATCTACCACAGTCATTCACTCTGTAGGAATAAGTCAACATACTTTTTTGGCAGCTATGAGTCAGAAGCAACAAGACGATGTTATCAATAAGTTAAACGCTGGCGAGTTACAGGGAATAATTGCTACAGATATAGCGGGAGAGGGCCTTAATATCGAAAGATGTTCAGGAGCGATTAGATACATGTGTGTTGGAAATGAAATAACATCAAGACAGTTTAAAGGTAATGATTGTTTTACTTTTGTTGTTATATAATGGAATATTTAATTACTGAAACTCGATAAGAGAATGGCAATATTTTGAGATCAAATTTGGAATATTGACTGTAAATGGCGTAAAAACTCACGAAGATGAATATCAGAACAATGTTGGTGAAACTGATTTAAGGCAACATTGTATGTGGATCAAGTTTGATTACATGTATACAGTAATCCCTTGAGGTTAAGCAATAACATAGAATCAACTCGATTTCTATGAATAAGAGGGAAAACTCGCGCCCAAAAATAAGGACTGCTGTTACACAGGGGAGTGGTGTGGGTCATCGCTTCTTGTTTATCCTTTATCTAGTTGCAATATATTTTCATAGAAGATGTATGCCATACTTGCATCTCTCTATTAGAGATGAATTTTTTATAAGCCTCCTATTCATTTAGGACGAATTCGAAAAGATGAGGGCACCTACATAACAATTGGTGAAGGCAAACATACTATTAGAGAACACCTCAACACGCAGAGAGCACTGCTGATGACGGATGCCGTAAACGAAATTTGCAACATGAGGCAAGAGATGCTTAAAGAAAAGCTTAAGAAATGTCGATACGAAATCCTTCTTGAAGAAAAGAGAAAGCAACAAAAAGAACAGGAGGAAAGCTTGTCAAAAAAGGATCATTCCGAATATGCAGTTTCCTGTACAAGATGTGGTAAATTTGATATAGATTGTGAAAATATTTTCCTGATCAAGGGTACGCATCATGCCGTCATAGATAAGAACAAAGCAGCAAAAATAACACAAAAGAGACTGAAAAAGAAGCCATACAAAGAGGATGATTTAGAACAATTAATGGAGTGGTACCACGATAACTGTGCTGAGAAGCTAGGAACTGTTTATCTTTACAAAGGAATCCGTTTACCAGTCATGGGCCAAGGAAGGTTCGTTTACTACAAAAAACAAGACAAACCAAGAAAACCTTTGCCTATTATAAAGTGGAAGTTTGTTCCCTTTGAGAAATCTTTGAGAGAAATTGGCGAGGAACAGCTAATGGAAATGAGCGGGGTTCTGTGAGATGACTTATAAAGAGATGAGAGTTTTTTTAATACGAATATTTAAGTTGGTCAACAATACTGTGTGAAGAAATACACTTAACAAAGGCAATGTCCTGTTTCAGACAATTTAAATGAGTCCATACTTATTGTAATTAGCAACTTTTAATCGTGTATTTTATAATTATATATATTCTTATCTTCAAAAGTCTGATGTGGTGATTTTCACAATAGCGTTATCTCTCTTTGTTTTCATATACTGTTTGTCCTTGAGGGTAATTTCCACATCTATTTTTAGTAACAGAAATTCTGTTCAGTTAAAGTGTTTAATATTTTTCATTTAAAATAATTTTTGTCATTGCAATTTTTCAAATAATGATGGAAAATACACTTTTATTAAAATGTATTGTTTAATATTTTGATAAATTTCAACATCACTTCCTGTGATCATAACGTGACTTCATAGTTTATGATTTTGCACAGAAATGTTTTGCACTATTCTAAGGCTGTGTGTTGATGCATTGTATAAAGCATCAGGTAAAAGACAACAACTGTAAGTTTATATTTTTTTATCTAGCTTTGCTCATAATAGTAAAGTATGTTTTGGTAGGATTCTTTTAATATTTGTAAAGTCTGAAAATATTTATTTAAATAAAATATGTTTCGAATGTTTTGTTGATAATATTGGCTATTCATTTTAACTCTAGTGATGTTTAATAGGCTTTTGTTATGAAGAAGTTTAAATTAATTATATGAGATATACTTTTTGCTATTGTTTACAACTACAGTTAGAGGTTACATAGGTATATTGATTTTTGGTTAATTGTACAGTATCACTGTGGTCGGTGGTGACCTTGAAATAAATCTTATGCAATGTGGCCCTGGTTTTCTTTTCAGTTTTGGGCAAGATATATATATATATATATATATATATATATATATATATATATATATATATATATATATATATATATATATAATATATATAAAATCTTTATAATAGAAAGGTCAACTGTCTGTCATATTTTGTAAATCTATTTTTATTCATGTTTTAGTAACCATTACATTCATGTGAATTTACATTTGTAAGTAATGTCATGTTTTTCTTATTTTTCATTTGTACAGCACACTGTCATTACTGTCATTATTATTAACATTATCATTATTTTTAATATCATTGATATTCATATAATAAACCTATATAAAGAACAAATCTAGTTATCACAAAAGTATATGCTTTGATAAAGTATTTGTATGCTGATACAATTGACCAAAGTAGAACTTGGTAATTAATACATTTAAGATTGTATCTTTTTTCTAATATTTTAAACTTTTTTTTGTTGGTATAATTTATTTTTATTATTGTTTAATATCGTTCTGAGATAATGGTGTAAAAATGCTTATTTATCGTACATTTTCTTTAAAGTAATTTCTATGCATATACACAAAACAAGTAATCGAAAGACATTATTAACGTTTTAGTGTTATGTTTTACTGATTAAAAATTGGAAACAAAAGTTCTAAGGCTTTACGGAGTATTTTTGTCCTCTGTTTAGTAGTACCCAAGAGAGAAACGATCCGTTTGTAATATCATATAATCGGGAAAAAATGACTTTCTTTTACAAAAGAAAGTGATCAAAGACGGGGAACTTCACATGCAAAACACAATGAAGAAGTTAAAATCACCAGAGGAAAAATAGCCAAAACTGAAATTGAACTTTCAAATTTAGATGAAAAGGCTTTAAAGTGCACATCCTTTAATATTTTTTTTTTCATTTTTAACATGTAAATTTAAATCAAATTATGATTGAATTTTTTGTAGTAGTAAATTAAATCCTTTTTCAATAAAAGAATTATCACACAAATACTTTTTATATATATATGTACCTTTAATCTATATAGCTTGTGTAGGTTGTAAGAGTATATTGTTAAATAAGTGATGTGAAGATTTAACTCGGGTTTTTTTTTTTACTGGTTTGCCATCCTTACCTTTAAAATATAATATATGGCATTGAAGTCAAGATTCTATTTACTAAACCTTTTTAAAGTGGTCAGTACAGCACATCTGAATAAAAATAATATTAACTCTTAATGCATTTTGATAAAGATCTAGAAAAGTATTGATCTTTGAATTATAAACATGACCAAAGTAACTTGGTAAAATATATTATATTTTTTTTTAAAAGATTAAATTTTTTTTTCATTTTTTTTAATTATTGTTTATTCTTTGAATAATTGTGTAAAAATGCTTATTTATCTACATTTTCCTTTAAATTAATTTCTATTCATAAACATAAAACAAGTAATCGAAAGACATTATTAACGTTTTATTATTATGTTTTATTGATTTAAAAATTGGAAACAAAAGCTCTAAGGCTTTACAGGGTATTTATGTCCATTTAAATCATATAATCGCGATCACCTACAAAAAAAAAAAAAGAGGCGGGGAATAGGTGCCATGAAGAAGTTAGAATCACCAGTTGCACGACCACAGAACTTGCGAAAGATGACTATAAAGTGAATCCTGATTTTTTTGTTCTGTCAATTACTTCATTCAAAAAGATGATTTTACGTAGATTTGCGTGTCAGATTAACAGGAAGACATAAACACCTTGTGCAGGTGAAGATAAACTCTTCTTATTTTTTTTTTATTTTTTTTTTGACTGGTTTGCCATCCTTACCTTCAAAAAATAATATATGGCATTGAAGTCAAGATTCTATTTACTGAAAAACAAAGATTATTTAAACCTTTTTAAAGTGGTCAGCTATAGCACCTCTATATATATATATATATATATATATATATATATATATATATATATATATATATATATATATATATATATATATATATATATATATCTGAGAAATATACCACAAATACATATTAGACGTTGATTAAAGTATCCATTACGGTAAATATTATTTTCAGACAATTTATCTCCTTACTTCTAATACGTTGCTAACTCAGACATTGATGATACATCTTTATTCCATATATTTACACTTGAATTATTATACAACAGAAAATAAAGCAGCAGAATTCTACAATAACCAAGAAATTCTTAAATTTTTATATTTTTTCATTACGTTTTATCATCTACATTAAAATGCATATTACACTTCATCTCATACTCACTTTTCAAGAAAAAAAGGTACATCCGTACACTGAAAAATGTCTGACAAGGTGCAGTTATTCTCCAAAATATAACAATTTATGCATTTTTGATTATTTTGATATCAAGATTGAAAAATGAGATAACAAGAGAATGTTTAAGCTTCGAACAAGGTTAATAAACAAAATAAATTATCTGTAAAAACGATTTCTACAAAAATAAAGAAATACCCCTACTTTATACATTTACTATAAAGAAATTTTATTACTCTCCGGGACGTAAAAAAGTACAGAAGAGGGTTAACAGAATGACTAAAATATAGAAAATGCTTAAAAAAGGGTAATAGAAAGGTCATTTCTTCCTTCTCAAAATAGCCTGATTCAAATAAATCTCTAATAACTGTGGTTAAAGAAGCAACTGTATTCAACATCAATATTATCAATACAACACAGGTCATACGTTTTTTCAGATGACCTGATGCCAGCGATGATTTTGCGATTATTAATCGACGAACAAGAAATATGACGTTCAGAATAACGAACCCGAGGAAAAACACAGCGTCTTCTAATATGTGTATTATCCCAACATATCTTATAAGGAAGAACCAAGTGGCATACACCATCGCCACGGCATATCCTATACTGGAGAGAAACATTGCCATGGAGATTTTTAAAATCAACTTGTTTCTCAGATATACGCGACTTTTTATAGGATGTGCAAACGTGACATAGCGAACTGTTGCTAGCAACACAATATTCAGGTAAGAAAATGTAGAAGTGGAAAAAGAAACTGCTTGCATGATTTCCTTTTGATAAAGAACCTGGCACAAGTCTTCATTGTAGATAGAAACCATCAAAAAGTCACTGAGAAGAACAAGAAGATCGGCCAAAGATAAAGATAAAATGCTCAGATAGAAAGGTTTCCTAAAACGAGGCTTAGATATTATTACTAAAATAGTCACAATATTGCATATGCTCCCAAATGTAAAAAAGACAACATTTAAAACATCAATGTATATCTCCCAGAAAAGATCTACTTTTTCAACACCTGTCTCAAAAAGAACCTGCGTGTAATTATTGTTTTCAATAGATGGAAGTATACAAAAGTCTTCTCTTAGGGAAGTTAGTGAAACATCATGATTACCTAACATTATGATTTCCGTTGATAAAATATACAGACAATCGTTCAATGATGCATCTTGTAAACATTTGAGAAAGGGTAGGTGCAATGTCTTGTTTAACGCGTCTCTCAGCACACCAATGTTTGTGTTACCGCTATTTTGTTCTGTGAACATTGAGCTTGAATTAATTGGCTCCCCATCTAACCCTAAAATACAAGCAACGAGTAAAACATCATTATCGTAGCGATTGAAATAAATTCAAATCTGTGGCATATACATGACTTTTGATATAATTTCACATTTTGCACAATGCTTGTTTAGAAAAGATTGTTTAGAAAAAATATCATTGTACAATACCTAAATTTATAGAAGAAATTAAGATTTCTTAGTATCGTAGAAATATTTAAAAATAGGATGTTCTTATAAATTTTAATGTAAATTCCAAAATTGGTAGATTCAAAAAATAAAACGAAGCTCCTTTTTGACATATTATTTATGTGCTTTGCTGCTAGGAAGTTTAAAAGCTATAAGTATTTTGAATTAAATTTTATAAAACATTAAGTTATGTCTATTCGATCAATACACAGAGCTTGCCAGGTACACAACAGGATTATTTTGAACTTTATCATTTGATGATATTTGATGACTTAAGAAAATAAATCGGCCACAAATAATGCAACCAACCTGATAGTTGTGGAAATGTTGTCGTTTTAAAATGCTTGGGAGTTACTGTTAATACTTGATTGTTATTTTTTGTTGACTCAGATTCTTTAACCGTGGGTGTTCGAATTGGATCACCAGGTGTAGATATCGTATCACTTCGACTACAGGTAATTATCCAGTTCAGAAAAGGAATCCAACACAAACAGTATCCTGTTGAAAAAATACTCATACTTAATCTACAAAATTAATGGTACCTAGACACACACATATACGATTGCGGCGTCAGACTTAACACCAGATAGAAGACATGGGTTTTGAATCTCACAAATTTAATTAAAATGAGATATACAGCTATTCAAACCGTTCTGTAGGGTTGTTATTATTCCTTTAGGAACTTGACATCACCTCTGATGATTGTGAGGTCTTTAATTGCTAGGCCACAAACTAATATTGTTCTTATAGACTTTGTGTTTCCTCTTCAATTTACAAATGCATTATCTAACAGATCATTCTCGTCAACTAAGGCATTTGATAAAAATTGATTGCATGAAATGCGTTATAACTTTTCCTTCTAAGAGAAAGGTATGGTTTTCGATTTATTATGCCCTAGGGATTTTAATGTTTTCTAAAAGTTTTGAAACAGCTTTAATATTAGTCGAATTTATGACTGTAATAGATCGGAGAAGAATATGGCATAAAGGAGTATCATTATGAAAATATGACTTCATTAATTTGATGCATTTTTCTACTTTAAACAGAAAATGCCTGAAAATGTCCCATTTTAATGGTAATTTGCCTTTAGAAAATAGGGTCCATAGACGTCGCCTACTTTACTTCTTGGTTATGTTGTGCAAAATTCAATGAAAAATCACATATTTCAAAATCTTTGTGGGCGATGCCTGTGGTCAATATTATCTGAAAGAAAATTCTATTGAAAATTGGTGTCTTTTGCAATTTTTAAAGAAAATACGGGAATTGCATATATTTATGACGTCACACTTAGCATGTATAAATTCTTGTGAGGAAAGTAATTTGTACGATTATTCTGCATGGAATTTAAATGACTCATGAGTTTTCATCTTTGACTTCAGTTTCATTTTTAAGGAAGTCATAGGGCAAGGTTTGAAACCATACTTTGTTCTTTGTCGTCAAATACCTCACTTACGAATACATTTTTAAATAACTTTCTAGCTTAATAGGTTAAAAGGAGTATCACAATTTTCTGACAAATTCAACTAGAATTGTCCAAACGGGACAAAATACCCCCCGCTGTGTTTTTCAGGAGTAAGTTTTTCCATAAGAAAGATATGTATCAAACATGAATTATGAATTTTTTTTTCTAGTGACCTTGAAGTTCCCCAAATGACCTTGGATCAAGGTCATGACACACCCTTGGGTCATGGGCAATCTTTGTGTGAAATGAAAAGTTAATCCATACAAAAGATATGGACCGGACACGTAGTATGAAAATTTTCTTCCAATGACCTTGAACTTCCATAATTGACCTTGGATCAAGGTCATGACAAAACCTTGGGTCATGGGCAATCTTTGTGTGAAATGAGAATCACCAAGTTTACCCAAAAGAAAGATATTGACAGGACACGAAGTATGAAATTTTCTTCCAGTGACCTAGAATTTCCCCAAATGACCTTGGGTCAAGTTCATGACACACCCTTGGGTCAAGGGCAATCTTTGTGTGAAATTTTTTTATGAAGTTTTCCTTCCAGTGACCTAGAATTTCCCCAAATGACCTTGGGTCAGTTCATGACACACCCTTGGGTCATGACCAATCTTTGTGTGGAGTAGTAGATTCTAATGTCCCTCCGTAAGAAAGATATGGACCGGACACTATTGCAAAGACAGACGGACAGACGGACAGACAGACAGACAGACGGACAAGGTGATTCCTATATACCCCCCCAAACTTCGTTTGCGGGTGGTATAAAAATATTTTTTCATTTTCAGTTGGCATTTTATAATTGTTTTTTTTTTTTTCGAATATTGACTTTTGTATCGAATCAAACATTGAAAGATCATAGAGCCATAGATAACCTATTGAACAGTTTGTGATAAATAAAATACGTTGGCATCAGTTAAGTGTAAGATAAGATAGGTGGCCATTGCAGATTAGGACATTGACAGTCATGGCAGGAATTTTGTACAAATGGACACCAAGCCTGGGGGTCATAAAACTTAGACGAGCTCACTTTTGAGCTTAGTCTCACTTATTACCAAAGGAATTCGTAGAGGAAAAGTGAAATGATATAAAAGATGAGCTCGTCTGATTTTTATGGCCCCCATAATAGATTTATATTAATTGAAATCTTCCATGGATTTCAGGCACTCACCTCTAATGATTTAAACTTATAATTAAAAAATATCTGAGGTATTTAAAAAAAACCTAATAACTAAAAATTTCAATAAAATGTTTACACCACTTTTCAACACATTATGCCGATATATCTTCGATTGATTGATTGATTGTATACTGTTTAACGTCCCTCTCCAGAATATTTCACTGATATGGAGACGTCACCATTGCCGGTGAAGGGCTGCAAATTTAGGCCTATGCTCGGCACTTAGGGCCTTTGAGCAGGGAGGGATCTTTATCATGCCACACCTGCTGTGACACGGGGCCTCGGTTTATACGGTCTCATCCGAAGGACCGCCCCATTTAGTCGCCTTTTACGACAAGCAAGGGGGTACTGAGGACCTATTCTAACCCGGATCCCCACGGGGCCCGATATATCTTCGAAAATATGATACAAGAATAAAGCCATAATAACATTTTGCTTTTCAGCGCATTCAGTGATCCTAAATGTATCATATGACTTTATGCTGCTGGTAATTCTCAATCACCGGGTAAACTGACAATTGTACATGGGTATTGTTGACAATTGTGCAATAAAATAAATTCTACTATTATTGCCGAGATCAAAGAAATTCCGCGGACATTATTCTTCAATAAATCACGAACGTTTTAAAAAAAAATACCAGCTCAGAAACACGTATCAAACCTGTACAATTCAAATGCATATTTGAATACTTGTTTAGACCACATCTATGTGTCGTCTTTCGCAGTCTGAACACTGTAAATTGCATAATGGTGCTGATGGATGTCAGTTTTATAACTAAGCGGGACTACTCCACAGACCTCCCTATACAATTGAAACAACGTGATTTTAGTACTAATTAAAGCAAAAAAAATAGAAACATGATATTTTGTTATTAAAATTAATCAATACATGTTACGAACAAATTTGTAATTAAAATTTTTTTTTATTTTTAATGCAACAACGGCTCAAATCATCTGCATTCCATACAAAGGTTTCCCTCTGGTGTTAAATGTAACAGCGTAATCGAGACATGGTGACCTAATGCATTTCTCTATGTAGGCCGTATTTTGGAGATCTCAGTAGAATAAAAATAACGTCCTTCTTGTCGTGAATGATCCAGGATAACTTCCTCGGTCGAGAAATGTTGTTTGAAAGATAAAAGCCTTGGCTAACACCTCGGCTTTTATCTTTCAAACAACATTTCTCCACCTCGGTGGTTATCATGCAACATTCACAAAAACAAGAATTTTATTTCTTGAATATGACACATATGAAAATATCTCGAGGCGATATCGATCAGAAAAAAATAAAAAGCATCATTTAACAAGTTGAACACTTCTATAAATATATTAAAATAATTCCTAATTAACAAAAAGCAGCAATCAATAAATTCAATTTTCATTTTAAAATTAACTTTGTATAATCTGAAATCTAGTTATATACCTGTCAGAAACAAACTAGAAAAAAAGAAACTTACTATAAGTATTCATATCTGTGAGAGCAGATCTTCTTGCATTAAAGTCGACAGAAAATTATTAATGAATTGAATATCTTTCCGTATTTTTATACCTGGTGTTCAATTATTTCAGTAAATTACAATAATGAAATACATGTGTTATATGCTGTAAAAACCGACCAGGGGACACATAAACGAAAGGATCTTAAAAATGGAAATCCCTGAGATACAAAAATCATGATAACTGATAACTGATTTTGTCTCTGGGATAGATTAACTACATGTTCTCATCAAGGTTTGGCTTTTGATCTCAATATTCCAATCAATATATCTTAAAAAGTCATTAGTTGGTAGTATAAATACATTTTCCTTTCTTTATAATATTATAATTTCAAAGTTTAACTTTTTTTTCATATTTTCTTCACATAAAAATGAAACTAACAATGCAAAAAACTATTTATTAAAGTATTTGCAGCTTCTTTAGCTTTTATTTTTCTTTGATGAAAATATCACTTTTCTACATTTTTACTCGCCGTCCATAGAAATTGATTACAAAATGCTAACCTGGTCCATAGTGAAACAGTACAAGATAAGACACTTTCAATCAATTAGTAAACTTTCAAATGTTATATATGGAGATAACTAACAATATTATAGCTCAGAAGTCAATTAAAAATGAGGAGTGAGCATCCCCTGTCGACCTGTCACATCCACCTCGTGATACGTGTCATAATCGGGAAATTCCGGTGACACCATTATCTTTCAGCATCGAATTTATACCGACTTAATAACAAATCTATCCATCAGAGTTTTCAAAGAAAGGATTGATGCTTTTAATTGTATTTATTTATGATTAAGGTATGCCACTCAAAAATTTCTAAAATAATATCAAGGATTTTTTAGAAGTATATTTTGAAAAAATGCTGATGTAGATTGACTGAAAATCACAGAAAAAAAATAGGGGTCAACGTGCATTTGACTGAGGTACGGTTCAATTAAGTTTACTTTTTGCACATAAATTAAACTCTGGTTTAGCACTTTAACCTTTTTTCATTTTAAGTCAAATGTAACCATGGCAATAAATATAATCTTATTTCACGTCAAATAGTTTGAATGATTTTTATCACTGAACAAATCTTGCAAATTAATGCGCGTAAATAATGATGTGACCCTTCTGCACTAAAGAATGACTTAATAAGGGTATTACAAAATTTAAAAGGCTATAAAATATTTTCTTGTTTGAAACTTTTAATGACATAAGAACCGATCAATCAGAAGTATCAAGTCGTTTAAAGTAATGAAAGAAAAAGTTGGGATCAGTGGTGTACAGTTTGAAATATTGGTCAAAATATGCGATTTCCAGGCTAAAAACGGTGACAAAAATTTTATTTCAAGACTTCCTCAACATATCTTCATTTCTCGGTAAAGTTTGTTAGGGGAAGGTGTAAAATCTATTCTACAAATATAAATTGAAACCTATATTTAATATTCCTGACATATCATAAAGGAAAATATTCTCGGAGTAAAATTACGTGAGGCAAAGTTTCCAAGATATCAAATTTAATAAATATGCAGCTTTGGAGAATTTTCTGCTACATATCCTTCCACCATAAGAAATAGTTCCTCAGAAATCTTGCTTCTTTATGAATTTTTAGAAGATTTGCCATTGAACAATTTCTGTCTGAACTTTTCTATATAAAACGCTGACAAGCGACATACCATAAGGGACGTAAAAATGCACAGCATCGAACATAGAACATCAGATGAAAACAAATTAATATGCAGATGGCCTAAATGAAGAAGCAGATGGCTATTTGCCAAGAATAAAAGAAAACTTTTTAATACTTACATGTATGTTGTCCTTCAAGTAACAGAAAAGGGAACGGCGACAATTTGACAAAAAAATATAATTTCAATTTTCATTTACTTCACATGGTGGAGAATTTTTCCTTAATTTGTCGCCACCATCAGATGAGGGTATATGAGGAAAGCATTAGGGAAAACAATATTTAGAAGAAAAATGAATAAGAATGAACAGGATCAGAGAAACTGTGTTGACAGGATGGGAGAACATTGATAATAACAAAGAAACTATTCCTACACAAATTTTTGAAAGGGAGAAAAAAGATTACAAAGCCCGGAAGCAGTTTTTTTTAAATTCACGGCAAATCATTGAAAGGACAAGTTAACAAATCTTTGAAACGTCACGTTTTCCACTTTGAGATGGAAAAGGGTTTATGTCTTTGTTCTTTACGTTGCTTTGCTCATAGAATAGAACATACATGTCATAAAATTTATTGTGACAATGCTACATAAACAAGAGGCCCAGGGGCCACAACGCTCACCTGAGCACATCGGGCTTGAATTTACTCCCCCCCCCCCCTTCCAGGCGTTCATCATTTGAACAGACTAAAATCTACACTACCTGAGGATGATTCCATATAAATACCCCGGGTATCACTAATCATAGCTTTGAAGCACTTGAAAAGAAGATTATAAAAGGTTTCCCTATATACCCCTATGTAAAACTTAGGTCGGCCATTTTGGCCCCACCCTATCCCCAGGGCCGGGGGTCATGATTTGAAAAAACTTGAATCTACACTACCTGAGGATGATTCCACGCGAGTTTCATCTTTCCTGGCCCAGTGGTTCTTGAGAAAAAGATTTTTAAAGATTTTTCCTATATATTCCTATGTAAAACTTGGGTCGGCCATTTTGGCCCCATCCTTGCCCCGGGGGTCATGATTTGAAAAAACTTGAATCTACACTACCTGAAATTCCACGCGAGTTTCATCTTTTCTGGCCCAGTTGTTCTTGAGAAAAAGATTTTTAAAGATTTTTCCTATATATTCCTATGTAAAACTTGGGTCGGCCATTTTGGCCCCATCCTTGCCCCGGGGGTCATGAATTGAAAAAACTTGAATCTACACTACCTGAGGATGATTCCACGCGAGTTTCATCTTTCCTGGCCAAGTGGTTCTGGAGAAGAAAATTTTTAAAGATTTTTCCTATATATTCCTATGTAAAATTTGGGTCGGCCATTTTGGCCCCACCCTTGCCCCGGGGGTCATAATTTGAACAAACTTGAATCTACACTACCTGAGGATGATTCCACATGAGTTTCATCTTTCCTGGCCAAGTGGTTCTGGAGAAGAAAATTTTTAAAGATTTTTCTTATATATTCCTATGAAAAACTTGGGTCGGCCATTTTGGCCCCACCCTTGCCCCAGGGGTCATGATTTGAACAAACTTGAATCTACACTACCTGAGGATGATTCCACATGAGTTTCATCTTTCCTGTCCTAGTGGTTCTTGAGAAGAAGATTTTTAAAGATTTTTCTAATATATATCATATGTAAAACTTGGGTCGGCCATTTTGGCCCCATCCTTGCCCCGGGGGTCATGATCTGAACAAACTTGAATCTACACTACCTGAGGATGATTCCACATGAGTTTCATTTTTCCTGGCCCAGTGGTTCTGGAGAAGAAAATTTTTAAAGATTTTTCCTATATATTCCTTTGCAAAACTTGGGTCGGCCATTTTGGCCCCATCCTTGCCCCGGGGGTCATGATTTGAACAAGCTTGAATCTACACTACCGGAGGATGATTCCACATGAGTTTCATCTTTCCTGGCCAAGTGGTTCTGGAGAAGAAGATTTTTAAAGATTTTTCCTATATATATACCTATGTAAAACTTGGGTCGGCCATTTTGGCCCCACCCTTGCCCCGTGGGTCATGATTTGAACAAACTTGAATTTACACTATCTGAGGATGCTTCCACATGAGTTTCATCTTTCCTGGCCCAGCGGTTCTGGAGAAGAAGATTTTTTAAAAATGCCATTAATTTTTAACAAATTCATGATTATCTCCCCTTGGAAAAGGGCGTGGCCCTTCATTTGAACAAACTTGAATTCCCTTTACCCAAGGATACTTTGTGGCAAGTTTGGTTGAAATCGGCTCAGTGGTTCTTGAGGAGAAGATGAAAATGTGAAAGTTTACGACAACGACAACGACGACGACAGACGACGGACAAATTTTGATCAGAAAAGCTCACTTGAGCCTTCGGCTCAGGTGAGCTAAAAATGCTATAAAATTAGTTTTGTTCAAGACATATTTGAAAATAACGTCCAAGTCATTAACAAATAAATTCAACATATTTAACAAGTATGCATCTTTCACACCTCACAAGTATCACATCATCCCTGATTGTAGTACACTCTTAAAGAAACTTTTATTCGTTTAGAAGCTCCAAGTCATTCTTTAACGTCGTTTACTTTGTAAACTGCTGCGCACTGACTAAAGCAGAGTAAACTCCCTTTAATGATAACAACGCATGATGTGATCCGCTCTCCACCACCTGTCCATCATCGATCACATAGATGACGTCACAATTCTGTATTGTTGACAGACGATGTGCTATCACAATACATGTCCTGCCCTCTTGGGCGGCGTCCAAAGCCGCCTGAACTTGCTGTAAAGTTGTAAATTTATTATTTATTTCGTACTGTTCTTCAAAATGAAAGAGAAAAAAAAACTTAAACTTACCTTTTCGGACTCTGTGTCAAGCGCTGACGTTGCCTCGTCAAGGAGAAGTATTTTTGGGTTACGCACGATGGCACGTGCTATAGCCACTCTCTGCTTCTGTCCTCCGGAAAGCTGTGTTCCCTTCTCTCCTACAACCGTCTCATAGCCCTGTATTTACCAGTAATTCATTAAACATATTCCTTAATAAGTATCTAATCAAATAAAATTTCAAGTGCATTTTCATGAATTATATCCACTACTCTTTATTAATTAAATCCTGTTTCAAAGCATATCATACTTTTATCGATAAAGTAAGATAAGAAATTAACAAACAGAAATCAAAGTCTGGGTAATCATTGTTATAATAACCTGAAAATTGGCAAATTCGGACCTCTCTTAAAAGTTTTTTTATTGCTGGATCAAGTGCCTTTAAGTTTTACATTAATGTCTAATTTGAACAACAATCTACGAATCTTTTTAATGCTTTGTTTGTGATCTTTGTTTTATAGTGAAAAATATATCACTGGTTTTAAAGACACTAACAGCCGGAAGTTGTGTGATAAAGTCATGGATATTAGCCTTCCTTGCTGCCTCGATGACGTCGTCCATTCCTACATCGGAATCTACACCATAAGAAATGTTCTCCCGGATGCTGCAGTCAAACAAAATCGGTTCTTGGCTGACCACGCTAATAAATGAACGGAGACGGGAGAGATTTAAATCCCGGATGTCTATACCGTCGACATTCTACAAAAAAAAATCAAAGAAAAAGATTTGTATTGTTATATATCTAGATGATGTTTCAACTGATGTGAAAGGAAACTTTTCTTGCATCTTATGCTTATATTTATTTCTGAAATAATTATATGATCAATAATCTACACTGTTGCAGGCCTTTACCTTACTGGTGAAGTAAGTATAGTTTATATGATAATCTAAAAGAAACTTTAAAAGTTTTAAATTCAGGGGAGTCCAGAGCTTTCTGTGACAGAACTTCATATCTATTATTCATTGTTTGGAGGATGATGCAAAACGATTGCCAAAATAAGATGAGGAAGACCTAAATCCTTTATCAGATTGACAAGTATGCATCAAAAATATACCAAAGAATCGTATAGAAAGTTAAATGCAGAACATAATAAGAACTTTTAAAGGTCTTGAATTCAGGAGGTCTAAGATCTTTATGTGACTGAACTTCATATCTATTATTAAATGTTTGGGAGGTGATGATAAACGATGGGCAAATTATGATAAAGAAGACCTAATTCCTCCGTCAGAATGGAACGTTTGTTTCAGATTTATACCAAAGAATCATATAGAAACTTAAAAGGCCATACGCAAAACATATTGCTTTTTGTTTTCAATCACTTATTAAACTGTATAATTCCAAGAACTACAAAATGACCACCTTCTTACAACCTGTCTCATTCTGACTGACATATTTCATATATTTGAGTATGGATTATTCTACATTTTCAATACAATCCAACAAAAAGAAAACTTTTAACTTCCTTGAAAATGATTTTTAATCTAAGGCAAAAGTATCTTTCATCCCACGTAAAAAACCACAACTACGCACTATTTGTCCATCCTGGACGTCATAGAACCGTTGTAGCAGAGATATAGCTGTAGATTTTCCACATCCACTCGGCCCCACTAACGCCACTGTCTGCCCGGGCTCCACCGTCAAACTTAACGATTTCAACACCCGCACATCTGGCCTCATAGGGTAGTTAAAGGACACGTTCTTAAAGACGATTCGACCGTCTACATTGTTCTGGAAAGAAACGAATGAATTGGAATTGTATTGCTTGAAAATATACCGATAGGTTAAAATACATGTACCACTTTTTGATAATATAATAAGAACTTAAACTTAATAGAGTAGAAATCGACCAGCAGATATACGAAGAAATAGTAAAATGAAAACGCTAACAATACATCAACAACTTAATCAAAAACTCTTATCTTATATTTGCATGTAGAACTTTTCCAGATGACACATGTACGAGGGTTGTCCCGTAAAATCGTGGACAAGGCGTTTTTCTCGAAAAGTAATGGGCGCACTAAGCTGAAAATTTCAGTAAATGTTTATTTATCATATTTAAGTGCATGATAATTTTATTGATAAAATATAGGCAAAAATAAAGATTTTATTATGCTTAAATGTGCACGGGGTATTGTCCTACGGCGCACGGACAAAAAACCAAGGTTTTATCAAAGAATACACAAGTTTGAATTCAAAATAAAAGTTTTAAATACATAAGATTTGGATTAAAATTATCCTGATTCAATTCCACATTCAATTTTGTAGTCTTTGTAAAAATTTTAAGGCATTTGGTTCATTTTTGGCAGTTTCTCAAACATTCGAAATGGGAAAGTGGTAAACACAACACACGAAAAATGGCCACGTTTTATGACGTTACGGCGCACCGGAGAGCAGTTCCGTTTTAATTCGATGTTCTAATGACACCTTTAGAGACTTGAAATGACCATAGAAGAAAAAAGATTATAAAAATATCACCATATCTAAAGTATACAAATGAAATAGGGGTTTTCTTAGCGAAGTCTTTTTTGATCGAGTCCCTGGGTAGTACACAACATACGGACAAACTCCTAATGTAATAGCAAAAGACGCTGTCACAGTAGACCGCCGATATGAGATTTCTATTAGTTGTATGATAGTGAGAATATTGTCTGTAACTTACTGATAAATTTTCAGAATATCGCATAAGGGTGCCAATTGGTTCTCCGACTGTTTATGAAGACTAAAGAATGTGTATCAATGAAATTCCTAAATTTAAGTCGGACTCATCCAACTTCATTTTCAGCAAAGATAAAACGTGACGCTGTTTTAGACACTTTGACGTTATAATCCATGCGCCGTAAGGTGATACAATACATGGCATAAAATCACATAATTTGTTTATTTATGCATATATTTATCTGAAATTTGCTGTGTATTTTACTAAAATATGTACTAAATAATAGTGAAAATTTCAGAACGCAGTGATGTATATTATTTACACTAGACAACTTGTCCACGAATTTACGGGACAACCCTCGTATATGCACTTTCGAAGACAATTATTATCACTTGCATATCCGTACCAGATACGTCCCGCGTTGGGAGTAGATATCTATGCCTGGAATGGTTTCCAGTATCTTGAATATCAGTCCAGCAGCATGCTGAGCTTTGGAGTAATCAGGTAAAAAGGAACTGGCCTGTCCAATTGTCATTCCAGTAAACGCAATGGCAAAAAAGACTCTGGAAAAGGACAAATATAGGCATATTCATGACAGGTAGGATGATATTACTAAAGAGCTAAAATTTTCGAAAACTTTTGAGATTTTCGAATGATAGTATAAGGAAATATTTCAAATACCAAGTTTTGTTATATTTGTGATATTTATCAATAAGTGATATTGTTCAAAAACTGACGAATAACGATTCATAGTTTATTCACTGACTTGTACACATCCTCCGGTGCCATTTCTCCTAGGCTCACTTGCCAGGCACCGAATCGGAAGGAACCGCCATACATAGCAAACACAACACATTGTGAAAACCCGTAGGCAAACCCGTAGATCTGAGCTTGTTTAAGACTGGACCTGTCAAAGGAAAAGAACGATTATACTATGTAACAAATTCAGATTCATAAAAGCAAAAACCAGGTAGGCCATATTGACGCTAAACTGTGAGTATGCATAATCAGTTTATTACTTTCAAAAAGGTGGGGCGCCACTGACAAATAATAAACTGGCTCCAAAATAACTTTTACAAAATATTGATTTTTAAGAAAACGCACTGCTTTTTGAATACATAATTTTGTCAATATCACGTTATGGCAAAAACAGATTGCTTTCTTTTTACAATTAATAAGCTTCATATCCGTAGATCTAGAACTTACTTTAGAGGATTCTCTAATTTAGCCGCGTAGAGGTCGTAGAAATATTTTTCTCTGGTTAGAGACTGCACCGTTCTGATGTTGTCAATTGTTTCACTGGCCACCTTAAAACAACACACGAATAATGCATCACTCGGATTCATCTTTACACGATATATACTTTAACATCAAACTTTTATTAAAAATTAATACATATTTTTACTGTTACAAATACTTCTAGAAATTGATTACTAAAGTTTACCATTTACTGAGGTTTTCTAGCTCTTTTAGCTTATTACCTTGCCAGCATCCTCTAAATTACTTTGATCTTCTTTATGTTTCCCCATGACGACCTTGATCTGTAAACTACCTATCAATATAGAGCAAAATGAGATTTAATCCAGAAGTGAAAAAAGAATTAGGTTATATGATCAGTAAGTACTGGTTCCTGCTGACAAAGTAGGTAACATTGTCTTCATTTGTAAGGTTCATTTTATAAACTATATCTTAGAAGACCTTGGATTTTATTCTACAATGGTAATCCAACCTATACTCATAGTTCTCTTTCTAAGGAGGAAATTCTTCAAAATCATATGTCAATTTTGCATATTTCTAATATCCCAAAGAATCAAAATGAATTTGAACTACCTTATATATAATGGATTCCAAAACTATTTAAGAATCCTTACAAACATAGACAAATAGCGGGTTCCAGTAAATGTTCAACCAAGCCTCTTTCTCTACTCCTCACTAAGATATTAACAGAAGTGAAGAAGAAACTTCAAGAGTACTGTGCAACAATGTGTTAAGAAGTGGTATTTATCAGATGTGGATACTCAAAAACTCCAAGGAACTTTTGAAAAATTTGAAATCACAAGCTTTTACCAAAATCAACGACTTAAAAACTTACGACTTTTTATAAATTTATACACAATCATTCTCCATGATAAATTAAAGTCCAGGCTTTATAATATCATTGCCAGCTGCTTTTTCAACAAAAAATAACAATAACTTTATTTTATAAAATATTAACAGTAGTTAAGGAGAACTTCAGGGGTACTGTGCAAGAACATATTCAAGACGTGGTGTAAATCAGATGTAGATACTCAAAAATTCTAAGGAAGTTTTGGTAAATTCACAAAATTTTGGCAAAATTAACAGCATAAAAAATTACGACTTTTTAATTTTATCCAACCAATTCCAAGATAAATTAAAGTCCAGCCTTTTTGAAATCATTGACAGCTGCTTTTTCAATAACAATGGAACTCGTACATTTACTTACCTGGTCATTGGTCATTCGCAAAATTATTTTGTTAAAACACATTCTGATTACACACACAAGTACAATAAAGTTGACATCAAAGAGATGCTTGAGTTTCTGATTGACAATATCTATGGGGTTTTTGGAGACCAGGTATTCCAAAAATCTATTGTGCTCCGTTATTGGCATATTCGCTATTTTTGTATTCATATGAAGCTGAATTTTTGCTAAATCTTATACGTGAAAAGAAGCAAACACTTGCTGTGTCCTTCAACCCGAGATTTAAATATATCGACGACATATTGTCAATAAACAATGATAATTTCCATTCTTATGTCGATGCGATATATCCAGGTGAGCTTGAGAGAAAAGATACCACAGATTCTGTTTCATATTTGTATATTATACTTGAAAAAGACGTAAATGGTAATCTAACGACTAAGCTCCATGATAAACAAGATGATTTATTTTTTCTATCGTCAACTTCCCCTACTTATGCAGCGATGTACCTTCACCTGCATACGAAGTGTATATATCTCAATTGATTTGATATACAAGAGGATGTTCTACTACAAAATAATTTCTAAAACGAGGTAAATTATTGACAAACAAGTTGATGAAACAAGAATTTCGGCAGTCTCGTTTAAAGTAATCATTTCGTAATTCTATGGTCGATACAATGACCTTGTCAGCAAATACAATTTATCATTTAAATGCTGACTGATGATTTTCATACTCATTGTTAGTCCATTATTTATACATTGAATTGAAGACGGATTTTTCTGTTATTTCCCAATCATGACAAGGAGCACACGGCGAGTGTGACCGGTCGGCAGGGGAGGCTCACTTCTCTTTGCTCTGCTCCTATTTTGTATTGTTTTATGGATTTTTTATCTTGAATACTGTTTGTTATCTCCATATATTTCATCAGAAAAGGTATCTGCACTCCCATCTAACTTTTATTAAGAGGGGAAATTATTTAGAAGGATAAAAAATGCAAAACAAGGACTTTGGATGCTCTCCTTTTTTATCTAGTGATTTATTGAAAGAGCATCAGTAAAAAGCAACCCTCTCTCGAGCAGTTCTTGGAATAGATACCCACTCCATCACATTACTGGATCAGTGCTTTGAATACTCACTTGACAACATTAATATGGGAACTCCTGCGAGGACAACTAGCGCCAATTTCCAGCCGTAGTAAAATGCTATTACCAGGGCCGCCACTAGACTCACAATGGAGGACAGGATTGTGCCTATTCTGAAACCCGTTGCCTGAAATATCAAGTTGAATTGGTAAAGGTAACGAATCCAATCATATCAAATTCTCTCGGAACTGTTAAGCAATTACATGTTATACAATTTGGAATCTGTAGATTTACTAACTTTCACTAACCGTTTTTATAAGAGAGGCATCAGTAGCCAATCGCGTCGTGAGAGCACCTGTACCATGCTTCGGGTCGTCAAAATAGGAGGCATCCTGTCTTAAGTACGCCTTAAAGGACTTCAATCTCAGTCTAAACGTCATTCGCTCGCCGGCTATACCAAGATTAACGTTCTGAAATCACGAAGAAGCATTTTTATTCACAATTTAGTTTCCCTGCCGCTGTAGATGAGCGTTAACTATACAGATTAAGAATTTAGGAAATCAGTAAATTAAAATAATGAAGAAAGGTAGAAAAAAAACTTTAATTCAAATTTAATTTTAATGCAATGTAAGTTATTAGAAGGCAATAAAAACAAAATAAGTTTCACAATGATATGTTCCAATTTTACTCACCATGAAGAAATGACACATAAAGTTCAACCCTCCAAGAGCCAGGAACATTAAGCTCCATAGGACGTTATCTGTCCCGTCAATATCTATAAAGACCTAGGAGGGAAAATTTAAAAACATAATGTTATAAATTAATTTTTATATCATTGAGCTGAATGTCATTGTGTTTGATACCGATACAATCTTAAGTGTTGATTTTTCCTTTATTTAAAAATATTTTTATTGTTGTTTGCAATGAATCTTGATAACATTTTAAAATACTTTTTTTGAAGATACTTTTTTTAATACAACCAGTACCTTTATCATTTCTCCGAAAAACAATGCAAACAGCGGCATTGTGGAACCTTGGATAGCAGAAAACAATGTGCCAAAAATCAGAAAAGGGCATTCTGGGAAATTCTCACGTAAGATTCGGAAATACTTTGGCTTTTCGAATTCCTCCTCTTCTTCCTCTTTCTTCTTCATAAAAATACGAATTAATTAAGAAAATCAATACAATTTAAGCGGAATCCTGCAAACATACAATCATGTACGATGCTTTGCAAACATTTGATAAGTACCCGGTATTATATTGCTAAAAAGTTCATTTTGAAGAACCACCTTACAGGTATAAAAAAATTCATTCTGAATAATCTTACAGGTATAACCGAATTTTCAATCAGAGGGATTTATGAAATTCTTGAGTCTTGACAAGACAAAATCTATTTACGGTAGCAAAAAAAAATTAAATGTATATATGTATATGATGCATTTCTTTGAGAGATTACACAAGTAAAAGAGCTTTTTGAAAATATACAAAAAAGTAAAAATCAATTTTGAAGCCATTGGAAGTTTGGTTGAGATGTACTAAAATGAATACAAACTTCTTCCTCTTCTTGTTTTGTCTTTTCAGAAGCCGATATCTGCCGAGAGATCTGACTCTTTACTAGGTGGTCTCCCTTTTCCGAAGTTGACACACGTGACCTTTGACGTTTATAGGCGCGCTTTTCTGGACCAGATTCTTCTTCTACATACATCAAGATTTAAAATTCTTATACAATGAGAAGTATGAGGGTGTGTAGGATTTTTTAATTCGCTTTAGGAATAGCACTGATTGAGATGTGATTATCACTAAATCAAAGAAATTCTTAATTTAATATATATATGTAGAATTTTTAACTAACCATTCTCATTTTCCTCATCATCAGATTCTAATGATTGGGCCTGCACGAGTTGGTAGTAAAATTCCTCCTTCTTCATGAGCTCAGTATGTGTTCCGGACTCAATTATCTCCCCTTTGTCCACCACGTAAATCATGTCCACGTTTTGGACTGTAGTCAGACGATGAGCTATCATAACTGTTGTTCGACCAAGCCGAGCCTACATTTGAAAAGTTTAGATTTATAAACAAACTTCAATTTTATACAATTTTAAGGAAAGAGAAACAGAGATTGAACTAATTCTGTAATCTTACGCTTTAGAATCCTTTTTTAGAGCAGTGATCAGAAAAGGATATCTGTATAACTACAAACTCACTTTATCCAATGCTTTTTGGACAATTTTCTCGCTCTCGGAGTCTAGGGCTGACGTGGCCTCGTCCAGAAGGAGAACTCGTGGGTTTCTGATGAGAGCTCTGGCAATGGCGACCCTCTGTTTCTGTCCTCCAGATAACTGGGCCCCTCTCTCTCCGACCAAAGTCCGATAACCCTACCGAAAAAAAGGATAATATCCAGTGTCTCAAGATTCATATGATTTCCAATTAATTTTTTCAGAGATAAAATGATGTAACTATCATTAAGGAACAACACTTCTTCCCTTTAAATTGGGGTAAGTATAAGTGATGAGATGGATTTTATGACCTTGCAACTGAGTGATGAAATGCAAGATAAACCGAGCAATAAAGTTTGTGTGGCTTTACATGGGATCACTAGTGAACTCAAGTGATAAACTGATTGATGAATTATGATCGAAGTCACGTGAATAAATGAGATTACTTACAATGTAGCGATAGAGTCGCCTACATTTCGTTAATGAGCGAGGAAATCAAGTAATTAAATGTCAGGTACATGAAACAACATCACCATTGAGAGATAGAGTATTTTTAGAAAGCCGATGGCAAGAGAAAAAAGAAGTAGTAGGCAAAATACAACACAACGAAGAACATCAGAGAAAGAACTGAAAGAGATAGGGTTGACATGAAAGGCAATAGAAACAAACGCAACGTATATGACTGGGTGGCGGGACTGTTTGACTGTCTTATGTGCCACCTTGGATGAGGAGGTCTAAGTGAGTAAGTAAGTAGATGTACCTAACTGCTGAAGTGACCTACATTTGGAAACTGAGTGATGCAGTCACATGTTTAACTAAGTGATAACGTGACCTACATTTGGTAATTGAGTGATGAAGTCATGCGCATTAGCTGCCTTCGCTGCCTCCTCTATTTCTTGAATTGTGGCGTCAGGATTCCCCAGTTTGATGTTCTCGGCGATAGTCATGGCAAACAGGACTGGTTCCTGGGATACCACACCGATGTTGTTTCGGAGCCAGTTGGTGTTCAGATTTTTTAAATCGTTGCCGTCTAATAAAACCTTAAAAATTTATATAAAACAGAGTAAGTAATGTAAGAAAGAACATGCAAGGTAAATTTGTTGATTTTGTTAATAAACAACATGATTGACATAAAGTATAGGCTGTCCTCAGGAAAGTTAAAAATTTTCTTTACAGAATCAATATAAAAAGTATATTTCCGAACACATCTTTAATGTCCTACCCTTCCGTTCTGTGGGTCATACATTCTCTGGATAAGTTTGACGACCGTTGATTTCCCACAACCGCTGGCTCCCACCAACGCCACGGTCTTACCGTGCCCTATATTCAGGTTAAAGTTCTTTAATACCTGAAAAGAAATGAAAACCCCTGTACCTCTGTGCTGAGCACGTTTTTATTCAATCTATAAATATGTCACTCATTACCCTTATATTGAAGCTGATTCGAAACAAAGTAAAGTCAGATGTTTAAGATATGATCTCTGCATTGTACTAAAATTTTGCATTTTTTATTCTATTTGTTTTACCAGATTTCCTCTTTTAAACCTGTGATAAAATTTGATTTTGGGGCGCCGCAACCCGAGAAACTAGGCTACCGTGAACGGTTACCTGTTTACAATGTGCATTTTTTATGATCTTTTTATTTCCCCTTTTAAGCTTGTGCTAATATTTGATTTTGGGAACCCGATTCGATTTTGTTTTGTTTGCAGTGCAATGATTTCCCAACAATTGTATTTTTCAAAACATCATATATATGAATATTTTTTTTTTAAAAGAAGCTTAATTTCAAACATTTTGTTGGAAGAAACAATTATTAATTTCAGCCAGCGCATACCTTGACCTCCTCTCGTGTAGGATAGGTGAACTCTACTCCAACAAAGTCGATGTCACCTTCTAGTGAACTGGGTACCTGTCCCTTATCAACTGTAGCATCTATCGTGGGTACCTTTATACAAAATATTTAAAAGGATACATATTATCTTATTCCGCAATTTATCCATCATAAACAATGTTCTCAATATACCATAGCTAAAATATATATAATTTTACAGCTTAAACAGGTTTTCAAATTATAATTTAAGAAGGTAATTTTTTTTTAATTTCCAGTTGCTTTAATTTTAGTAATTTTTCCTTTTTTATTATACTTACATTGTCAATGGTTTCAAAGACTACAGCGGCGGCACCTTTGGCGCCAAATATTGAACCAAGATGAGGAGCAGCATTTCCAATAGAAAAGGAACCAATCATCACGCAGAAGAATACCTGTCAATCCAAATAGGAAAAACAACCATAAAGATAGATTATATGTAACATGAAAAAACAGTATTTGGGTTCAGAAGTAAAATTCAGAAAGACAGATTGCCAGCAGAGCAAAATGGACCGCTAAAACATCAGAGATGGGACCAGATGCCATGGAGGTGTAAGTATCCCTTGCCAACGGTCATACATGTACCTGCAATAATTCCTTTATTAAGCTCGGGTAAATGGAAATACTTTTATTCAATTCAGTTGTATGAAGATGATTATGAAGATAATTAGATTAGAGGTTTAGTGTGGTTTTTGGCAGAACATACACTTCTGTCTTGTACACATTAAGAGGCAATTACACGTACACTTGTGTTAAATTGTGTGATGCTACATAATGAAGACGGGTAAAAGATGATGATTAATGATAGATCTCAAAAAATTTCAAACAATGCATGTCTATAAATATGACATTATAAACTTCTCCTTAGCATTCCAGAGGTGGGATGGGGTGCCAACGGTTGTTGGGATTTCCTTTGTACCAAATACATTCTGAAATTAGCTGAACTATTGTGGTATTCATATAAAACAAAATATATTGCATAGAAAACATACACGAGAGGAAGAAAACACTTGCTGTAACCCTTAACTCGACATTTAGATGCATCAATGGCGTATTATCAATCAACAATAAATTCTTTTTATTCATATGTAAATTCAATATCCCAGTGAACATGGAAGAAAAAACAGATCTATATGTTTCGTATGTGAATATTTACCTAGAAAGGATCACGTTTGTAAAAACGTATCAAGAAACCTGATGATAACTGTGATATATTCAATTTTTTTAATTGTCAAATTCCCTTAAATATGTAGTTAAATACTTTTATAAATTGCATATTGGGTTAATTTCTCAAGTTTGTTCGATCTGCAAGAGCTTTGCTCTACGTTTGATTAATTTTGAAACCGATGCAAGCTATTACCATCAAGTTGATGAAACAAGGATATCAAAAGCCTCGATAACAGTCATATTTTATCAAGTTCTATAGTCTTAACAAGACCTTATCAGCAACTGCAATCTATGATCATGTCATGTGAATAGTTAGAATATCATTTACCATATATTCAAAAAGAAGTGTGAATCAGACGTGGATACTCAAAAATTTCAAAGAACTTTTGAACAATTTGAAATCACAAGATTTTACAAAAATCAACAGCTTAAAAACTTACGACTTTTCAACTTTATACATAACCATTCCCCTTGATAAGTTAAAGATCAGGCTTTTGGTATCATTGACAGCAGCTTTTTCAATTAAAATGGAACTCGTAAATTTACTTAACTATTTTGTTAAATCATTCTGATTGCACACATAAGTACTCTGAAGTTGACATCAAAGAGATGGTTGAGTTTCTGATTGACAATATCTATGTGGTTTTTGGAGACCATGTATTCCAACAATCCATTGGGGTTCCCATGGGTACCAATTGCGTTATTAGCAGACCTATTTTAATATTCATATGAAGCAGAATTTGTGCAAAAGCTTGCTTATGCGTGAAAAGAAGAAAACACTTGCTGTGGACTTCAACTCGACATTTAGATATATCGACGACGTATTGTCAATTAACAATGGTAATTTCCATTCCTACGTCGATATGATATATCCTGGTGAGCTTGTGATAAAAGATACCACAGGGTCTGACACATCTGTTTCATGCTAAGATATTTTACATTTAAAAGACGTAAATTGTAATCTAACAACCAAGCTATATGATGAACGTGATGACTTTAACTTTTCTATCGTCAACTTTCCTTCCTTATGAAGCAATATACCTTCATCACCTGTATACGGAGTATCATTATATCTCAGATACGCAAGAGCATGCTCTACGTATGAACAATTTCTAAAACAAGGTAAATTATTGACAAGCAAGTTGATGAAACAAGAATATCAACGGTCTCGTTTAATGTCATCATTTTCTAAGTTCTATAGTCGATACAATGACCTTGTCATCAAATACAATTTATCATTGTGTCAAATGCTGACTGATGTTTTTCATGCTAAATTTTATTCAATTATTCATACACTGAATTGACGACGGATTTTCCACTAATTTCCATATCATGACAAGGAGCACACGGCAGGTGTGACCGGTCAGCAGGGGATGCTCACTTCTCCATGGCACCTGATCCTACCTCTGATGTTTCGGAGGTCCGTGTTTGCTTTGCTCCTAATTTGTATTGTTTTATGGACTTTGATATTGAATACTGTTCGTTATCTCCATATCCTTCTTATACATGGTTTCAATGAGTTTTTCCGTGTAACCGATCTATAGACGAGGAGCACACAGAGGGTACGATTGGTCAACAGGGGACACTTACTTTTCCATTGCATCTGACCCCTCTCTAATTTTTTGGCCCATGTTTACTCTGCTCCCAATTTGAGATAGTTATCCCAATATTAAATTGATAGAACGCAATTCTTTTCAGCAGAAAAGACATCTGCGTTGTTTTTAAGTTTACATGTATAAGCATCATTTAAACTACTCTATGAAAGAAAGTTTTATCATCTTGTAATTACTCTACAATGATACAATAAATGATTTTTACCTAGATTCTTATTTCATTAACTTTTAGAAAAAAATGTTAGTGTTAGAAGTCTGGAAAATATATGGTTAAAAAATGTTGAGAAAGATCTGAAGGTCTTCTTACCGTAAGGACTTCTCCAGGACTTATCCCCTCCCTCTCAGCGGCACAGTAAGTATGGTACCAGTCCTTAACCTGTTCCGATCCGTACCTTAAATGTAAATCAGATAATAACCCATCATAACAAATAATAAATAATCACAACAAACACTTAGCAAAAACAATTGATAATAAACAATCACAACAAAGAATCAAAATTCAAAACAAATTATGTCATGTTAAGCGGAAATAAAGGATGTTGTTTATGTAAGATAAAAATGGTAGTTCCAAAAATGTAACAGGGTTAATGGATTTCATTCATGCATCCTTCAACATAAAGTGAATGAATGAAAATGTTTATATAAGGATTAACTATTCAGCAGATTAAGAAGAATTCTGACGGCAAGGTTGGTCATTGAAGGTCAGTGGTCTTAACATAAGGTTGGGGTGCAATATATTATGCAATAAAACCATGTGAAAAAGCTAGGATAAAACATTGGAGAGTTAGATCGTACCAGAGATAATCTAGAGTAGTTTAATATTTCTTACCAGAAGGCGAGGGCGTAAGATCCGAACATGAAGAACATGATGGAACCAATCATCAGGCCCTGGACCACTGTCTTACGGACACCGATCTTCTTACTCTCCGTCAACGCTCTCTCATATCTTCACAATCAGCAAAGAAACAAAACAAAATAAATAATCCTTGTCCTTCATTAATATATTTGAATGTTTAACTCATTCAAAATGTTCACAATCTTATACTGTCTTCACATGAATTATGATAACATGACTTGCCTCTGTGCTTTGTCAAGGTTTGATCATCTTACTTGTTAAAGTTTGATTACCTTACTTGTTAAGATTTCATTACCTGACTTGCTCTTGTCGCTGTCCATTGAACGAGATGACAGTTCGGATACAGGAGAGGACTTCCTCGGCAACACTTCCGGCGCCTGCGTATGACTCCTGTTCTCTTTTGGTGTAATTTCTGATGAACTGAGACAAACATAAGGTAATTTAACATATATAAATGTAGAAAGAAAAAAACCAAAATTATTGTATTTAAAAGATTGTACATTACCAATGGTTTTCAAAACACTTACTGTTATTTTTTTTTTTAAATAACAATTGAGGTTGGGGTTAACCACAAAAATTTGATCTTATATTTTATGAACTGAGAAAAGACAGAGCGGAAATGAATCAAGCCTCTTGGCATAGAAAAGACCCGGTGTAGCATAATATTTTGATACCGCGATATATTGAACCCGGGTTCAAAATATCGCATAATATTTTGAACCAGGGTTCACTTTTTCGCTGCGATATATTGAACCCCCTTATAAAATATTGAACCCCTACCTTTTTCATTAAAGAGGTAGGGGTTCAAAATATTATGGCCATAATATATTGAGTCCCCCTACCCTTTTAATTGATGTGGGAGGGGGGTTCAAAATATTATGGCCATAAAATATCGAGTCCCCCTGCCCTTTTAATTGATGTGGGAGGGGGTTCAAAATATTATGGCCATAAAATATCGAATCCCCCTGCCCTTTAAATTGACGAGGGAGGGGGTTCAAAATATTATGGCCATAAAATATTGAACCCCCTGCCCTTTTTAATTTAAGAGGGAGGGGGTTCAAAATATTATGGCCATAAAATATTGAACCCCCCTGCCCTTCTGATTTAAGAGGGAGGGGGGTTCAAAATATTATGGCCATAAAATATTGAGTCCCCCTACCCTTTTAATTGATGTGGGAGGGGGTTCAAAATATTATGGCCATAAAATATCGAGTCCCCCTGCCCTTTTTAATTTTAGAGGGAGGGGGTTCAAAATATTATGGCCATAAAATACTGAACCCCCTGCCCTTTTTTATTTTGAAGGGAGGGGGGTTCAAAATATTATGGGCATAAAAAATTGAACCCCCCTGCCCTTCTGATTTAAGAGGGAGGGGGGTTCAAAATATTATGGCCATAAAATATCGAGTCCCCCTGCCCTTTTAATTGATGTGGGAGGGGGTTCAAAATATTATGGCCATAAAATATTGAGTCCCCCTGCCCTTTTAATTGATGTGGGAGGGGGGTTCAAAATATTATGGCCATAAAATATCGAGTCCCCTGCCCTTTTTTATTTTAGATGGAGGGGGTTCAAAATATTATGGCCATAAAATATTGAACCCCCCTTCCCTTTTAAATTTTAGAGGGAGGGGGGTTCAAAATATTATGGCCATAAAATATCGAGTCCCCATGCCCATTTAATTTTACAGGGAGGGGGGTTCAATATATTATGGCCATAAAATATCGAGTCCCCCTGCCCTTTTTAATTTTAGAGGGAGTGGGGTTCAAAATATTATGGCCATAAAATACTGAACCCCCTGCCCTTTTTTATTTTGAAGGGAGGGGGGTTCAAAATATTATGGGCATAAAAAATTGACCCCCCCTGCCCTTCTGATTTAAGAGGGAGGGGGGTTCAAAATATTATGGCCATAAAATATCGAGTCCCCCTGCCCTTTTAATTGATGTGGGAGGGGGTTCAAAATATTATGGCCATAAAATATCGAGTCCCCCTGCCCTTTAAATTGATGAGGGAGGGGGTTCAAAATATTATGGCCATAAAATATCGAGTCCCCCTGCCCTTTTTAATTTTAGAGGGAGGGGGTTCAAAATATTATGGCCATAAAATATTGAACCCCCCTGCCCTTCTGTTTTAAGAGGGAGGGGGGTTCAAAATATTATGGCCATAAAATATCGAGTCCCCCTGCCCATTTAATTGATGTGGGAGGGGGTTCAAAATATTATGGCCATAAAATATTGAACCCCCCTGCCCTTTTTAATTTTAGAGGGAGGGGGTTCAAAATATTATGGCCATAAAATATTGAACCCCCCTGCCCTTTTAAATTTTAGAGGGAGTAGGGTTCAAAATATTATGGCCATAAAATATAGAGTCCCCATGCCCATTTAATTTTACAGGGAGGGGGGGTCAATATATTATGGCCATAAAATATAGAGTCCCCCTGCCCTTTTTAATCTTAGAGGGAGGGGGGTTCAAAATATTATGGGCATAAAAAATTGAGTCCCCTTGCCCTTTTAATTGATGAGGGAGGGGGTTCAAAATATTATGGCAACAAAATATCGAGTCCACCTGTCAATTTAATTTATGAGGGAATGGGGTTCAAAATATTATGGCCATAAAATATTTAGTCCCCCTGCCCATTTAATTTTACAGGGAGGGGGTTCAAAATATTATAGCGTTCCCCTGCCCTTTTTAATTTAAGAGGGAGGGGTTCAAAATATTATGGCCATAAAATATCGACTCCCCCTGCCCTTTTTAATTTTAGAGGGAGGGGGGTTCAAAATATTATGGCCATAAAATATTGAGTCCCCCTGTCCTTTAAATTGATGAGGGAGGGGGTTCAAAATATTATGGCCATAAAATTTCAAACCCCACTGTCCTTTTAATTTATGAGGGAGAGGGGTTCAAAATTATGGCTATAAAAGATCGAGTCCCCCTGTCTATTTAATTTATGAGGGAGGGGGTTCAAAATATTATGGCCATTTTATATTGAGTCCCCCTGCCCATTAAATTTTACAGGGAGGGGGTTGCAACATATTATGGTCATAAAATATTTAGTCCTCCTACCCTTTTAATTCAAGAAGGAGGGTGGTTCAAAATATTATGGCCATAAAATATTGAGTCCCCCTTCCCTTTTAATTCAAGAAGGAGAGGGTTCAAAATATTATGGCTATAAATATCAATTCCCCTGACCTTTTTATGTTTTAGGGTGAGTGAAGAGAAGCGCTTCAAGATAATATGATCATAAAATATTGATGACTTTATTGTACGTGTGTGTGTCTTTTTTTCATGTTGAGTATGATAATTTTACATCATAATAATTGCTTCATTTTGGATTTCTGTTACATTTTTGAGTGGTGGGAATTTAAATATCATGTCTGTAAAAAAAAATATTGACCACGCCTCTTACAATTTAATTTTCATTTGTGTAAAATATCATTGTTGTAAAATATTAACCAACCCTCTTGCATTTAATTTTCAATTGAAGTAGGTGGTTCAAGATTGATGTACCTCAGTGAATTAAAAGAGTGGTTCAAAATAATATTGCTGGTAAATATTCCACCACAATTAGAATTCCATAGGTTTTCATTTCTGTTTAATGTTGCTCTCTCACTTCATAAAACACCAAATATTCCAGTTATACTCTGTGGGAGGAATTTTTTAATCTCACAATATTTCAATAGTCTGATAAATAGTGGATATGTGTGGCTGATAACTGTTCAGCTTTTTGTTTCTTATTCTTTCAATTTAACCATTCTTAAACATAACATGAATAAGAAAAGACAAAGTCCATTCCATTGTAATAAATTAATTTATAGCATCTCATTTAGATAAGTCATAACAAAAACTGGTAACATTTTAGAAATAAATAGAAACACTTAAATAGAAATACAAACATTAAAAAATAATCTTTTCTCTTACGTCATTCTGCTTAGGCACAAGTTAGTCAGTGTTCTAAGCACAATAAATTCAAGACTCTAATCTTTTCTTGATAGTCATTCTTCTACAGCTCAAGTTGGAATGTTCTTTGTACAATAGATACACTATCTTTTCTTTAAAGTCATTCTGCTACAGCTCAAGTTGGAATGTTCTAAGCACAATAGATACACAATCTTTTCTTTAAAGTCATTCTTCTACAGCTCAAGTTGGAATGTTCTAAGCACAATAGATACAGGTTTCCACACTGTCTTTCTCCTTGATGCCAAGGCAGGCATGGTGGCACCATCTCAAGCAGGAACTACACTGAATCTGTTTCCTGTAGCTAGCTGCGCAGAAGGGAAGGTCGCACGCAAGGCTCCTTTTGTCTGCTTTCCCATTAGTGAGCAGCTCCCCAAGCACATAAGCTCTGTAGGCCTTGATGTGACACAGCCGCATGACTTGGGGGGAGATGTGTGATAAAATGGCTGCTGAATTCTACAAATTATTAAAAATAAAATGTATCAGACACCTTTCTGAGTAATGTAGGCCTCCTAATACTATTTGCATAAGTAACTAATTTAAAACCAAAAAAAATTATTCGCTTATTGTCATTACATTACATTCTTTTGACACTATTATATACAGTTTATTATTTTTGTTAGCTGCAGTAGAAAGATAAATGACAAATCTCTTGATTCCTTACCATAAGCACAAAAACTCCACAGGAATGTCCATCTTTCTGAACTGAGGACTTAATGGGGCTAAGGGTCCAGGATAAGGGAGTTGATGGCTCTGCTTGAAATCGGGTTTCCATAAAGCATCTTTAAAAAAAAAAAGAAATCTTTTAAAATTTTAAAATATCATAGTGAGATGGAGTACATGAATAATTTAAGCTTGTAACCTCTAATTTTTCATTCATTGAGAGAGAAGGAATTTGAGAAATGTATATAAAAAGTATTTACCTCCAGTGTCTGGCAAATTGTTTTTCTCTTTGTCTGTTGGGCAGAGAATCCAAAATGAGCAGAGTTTCCAATTTTGGGTAGCCAACCATTAGAAACCAGTGGTCATGATGGCATACAGGCAGCAAAATGATGTCATACGAGTGAAGTGGAACCTATTTGAAATAAAAAATGGGTGTAATTAACTAAGGCTTCTTCAGAAAGTATTTACTAAGTAGCTGTGGGAGTTTAGATGCACAGACTGAAGGGCTGAATTAGCACAAATAACTATCTTTATCAATATTTATCTCCAAATTTTAGAATGTATAAAAAAAAATTACTATGAAATGTAACGGTCATGCAGTTTGTCTTATATTCTTGTGAAAAACTTGACCTCCACTCAATCAAAAAAATGTTTTAAATATTGAGAAATTAACACATTTGAGTTTTCATAAAGAAAACAGTTGAAAATTTTAAAATTATAAGGTCAGTTTAGTAAAAATTTGTTTGATGCATAATTACATAGAGATCCTTAAAAACAATTTTTTCTGTAAGTGTTTTAAATGGTATTATTTAAAATGACAATTTACCTTCTGAAACAACCAGGATGAGTAGTCTCCATTTTCCCATTTTGTAGCCACAAAGCAGGGTAGCACATATGCTGACTGGGGTTCTTTTGAATTACACTGCCAGCTCAACAATCCAAGATATGAATGTATGATCTGCAATGAATATATAATATAAATATATGGACTATTTTGTGCTCTTTATCTATCTACTGTACATCACCTTTACATTAAATTTTGCAATTATGTTGAAAAAGTCATTTCAGAATTTCAAATTCTTTTTACTTACATCTTGTTTTTAAAAATTGGGGTTTACTTGATTAAAGTACAAAAATAAGTAATTTACTTGATGCCATTTTCTGTTTCTATTTTTGAGTTACACTGCAATTTTACATACACTGTAATTTAAAAAAATTACTTGATAGTTATAATACCTTGTCATTCAGCCAATTTGTGGAGTCCAGAGTACTAATATCAGCTTCATTGAGAACAATTCCACCAACTCGAAGACGACTGATCTGTCCCTTTGGTTTCTTGCAAGATGAGGTGGAATTACACAGTGGAACACTATCAAGGGTTGGAAGGAATTTCTGAGCTGGTATGAGGATTTTGTAGGACTGGATAAAAATAGCAGCAGCAAGCATAAGTCCAGGGGCAGTCTCAGGGGATTCTTGAAGAGTTGGGTCCTGACTGTGTGCTCCAGAAACCACTTCCATGAGATCGTTCACACACTGATTTAAGTCATCCTTTCCCTCTCTTTGGCACGCAAGATACAGAGAAACAGGTGGTGATCTAGATGCATTATCAGCAAGGCTGTACTTCGCACAATGTCTGACGATTGATATGATATCTTCTGATGAGTAGGTCCTCAGGTACACATTCTGTGATGCTTGTAGCTTTGTTTTCTCCATTCCCTTCACACGTTTGGATGGGTTTTCATCTGTGGGAGGTCCTCTCCTTTTCTGCTGGGTTGTTCTAGATGACTTGGTAAATTTGGGTGAGCTGGAAACCTCAGATATCCTTAGTCTTCTGTTAGGATGTACATGGCAAGAACGCCCCTTTTGATGAGTTTTCAGCTTTGATTTAGTGGACCTTCCTTTTATCTTCCTTTTGTTATTCGTTGAAATTGAAGTACAAACTCCTTGGTCCTCAGCAGTAGGTGCAGTCAACTTGGTCTTTGGTTGGGATACAGTACTGCTTCGGCTGCTTCTTCTCCTTATCACATCTGTTGGACACGTAGGCTTAAATACTGGCTTCTGTACCCTTCTTCTCCTTCGGCATCTTTGGAGACCACTAACTCTTGACTTGGATGTGGCAATCTGCTTGGATTTTCTTCCAGGCTGAGATGTCTGTTTTTCTGCTGTAACAGTAGAATTCTCTCTGTATAACTTCATGCTCTTGATGTTGGCTATTTCCTTTCTTCCTACCAGCTTGTACACCCCTTTTCCAATGCATGTAGAAATGGTATAAGGACCAGTCCACCTGTTTAGCATTTTGTCTCCCTTCCGATTGATCCTTTTAGAGTTCCTTAGAAGTACTCTCTGGCCAGGTTGAAGAAGATCAGCTGTTCCATGTTTTCTATCGTAGTATGTCTTCTGTTTCTTCTGTTCATCGCTGATGTTGTCTTTAGCTGCATCATGGGCCTTTAAAAGTTCAACAAATGAAGTTATTCTGTCACTGTAGATTTCATCAAACTCTTCATCTGTTTGCTGTCTCTGCATACTGGGTACTGTTGTTGGAATGTCTAATTGAATTGGTAGGACTGCTTTTCTCCCATATATTAGGTAGAAGGGGGATTCTTTTGTAGACTTCTGCTGACAAGTGCGTGCAGCAAATGCAACCTGCTGTAGGTACTGGTCCCAGTCATCCTGCTTTTCGCTGACATATTTTGTTAGTGCACTGCAAAGAGTTTGGTTGAACCTCTCAGTTAGTCCATTGGTTTGTGGATGGTAGGGGGCTGAAACTCTGTGCTGGATCCCCATGGATTGGCACAACTTGTCATTAAGGGAATTGCAGAACTCCCTGCCCCTGTCTGTAAGGATGGTCTTTGGTGCTCCATGCCTGCAAATTACTTCAATGATGAATTCACACACCACGTCTGCATGCTTGGAGGGAATAGCTTTGACTTCTGGCCATTTCGTCAGGTAATCAGTGAGGACAGCAATATACTTGTTTCCACTGGTAGTCTCCTGAAGGGGTCCAACCAAGTCTAGTCCAACCATCGCAAAGGGACCATCATGGACTGGTATGGGATGCAGAACTGATGGGGTTTTTCTCAGCTGGTTCTGCCTTTGGCACTTGTCACAGGTGTCCACATATTCAATAATGTCCTGCTGCATGCCTGCCCACCAGTATCTCTCCCTTATTTTTGTGGCAGTTCTGTTTACTCCCTGATGTCCAGCAGTAGCAGTGGTATGACATGCTTTAAGGATGGCAGCCTTTTCTTCCAGTCTCACAACTCTCACTAAAGAATGTTTCTTGTGAAGGTAGTACAGTGTTCCATCCAGGAGTTGAAACACTCTTGCCTTTCTTCTGAAGTTATTCTTCTGGGATTTGGTCTGAAAAAAATGTTGTTTGTGTACCTTTTTGTACTGCACAGAATTACCTTAAAACTAAAATAGCTTCTTGAACTATGTAATTGTAAACAATTTTTAGGTCACCTGAGTAACTCAGGTGAACTACAGTAAAACTCGGTTATAACGAAGTCACGGGGAACTATGAAATTACTTCGCTATATCCGTAATTCGCTATATCCATATAAGGAATTTGTTAAAATTATGTAGCTGGGGATCCATAATTACTTCGTTATAACCGTGAATTCGCTATAACCGTGTTCGTACTAAACGAGTTTTACTGTATTGCTATCCGTGTTAACATTTGAACATTTTCAGCTTCTTCTCTGAAACCACTGAACCAATTTCAACCAAATTTGGTATAAAGCATCTGTGGGTAAAGGGGAACAAAAATTATGAATTTTATGGTCCCCACCCCAATGGGGCCTGAGGAGTGGGGCCAAAACCACTAAAATTATTGCAATCTTTAAAAGTCTTCTTTACTCCTGGACATCAAGCAGGCAAACTGTTGGCATGAAACTAATGAGCATTAAGTCCTCTACCAAAATTGTGAAATTCATGGCCCCAGGGTCAGGGGTTATAGTGCTGGGACTGGGCTATATACATTATTTTGTGAAATTGCATTAATTATTTAAACATCTGCTCCTGGGTATTAAATAAACTAAGTACAAAGTTATGATGAGCAAGAGTGCCTCTTCCAAAATTGTGAATTTTATGGCCCCAGGATCAGGGGTTCTGGTGTTGTTGTGGGGCTCTATTGATTATATAGTGAAAATGCATTTATTCTTTGAAAATCTTCTTCTCTGCTTCTGGGTATTAAATAAACTAACTTAGTACATAGTCATGATGAACAAGAGTGCCTCTTCCAAAATTGTGAAATTTATGGCCCCAGGGTCCGGGGTTCTAGTGTTAGGGAGGGGCTATATAGATTAAATAATGAAAATGAATTAAATCTTTGAAAATCTTCTCTGCTCCTGGGTATTAAATAAACTAATTTAGTATCAAGTTATAATGCCTCAACCAGAATAGTGAATTTTATGGCCCCTGCGTCAGGGGTTTTACCATTCAGTGTAAGGAGGAGGGGGGGGGGCTCTTTTAAGTTTATATATCTATGAGGAAGAAAGGTGCATTTAGCAAAATAGTTTTTTTTCATGCCCCCTGGATCATGGGGGAGGGGGGGTATATAGTCTGATAGTAAAATAAATTAATACTTTGAAATCTACTCTTTGGCATTTATGATGAAAAGTAAAAAAAATTATAATAAAATTTCCAAAATTTTGAAATATGTGGCTCCAGGGTAAGTGCTTCCTTTGGGGTGGCGTGCACAACTGGTTAGAAAGTGGAAGTGCATTATCTCTTTGTTACTCTCTTCTGCCTCTTGGTATTAAGTAAATAGAGTAAGCATGCTTAAGTTTATAATTATGATAAACAGTGGTGCATCTAAAATTTGAATTTCATGGCCTCTGGTTTAAAACATGAACCAAATTCAATTGTTGGAAAGTTGTAACATATGATACCCAGGTGACCTGTAAGGCATGTTGGTCTGACTTGTTTAATTATGTTCCCCAAAAGAAGTTAGGAAACATAATTTTTTGCTCTGTTCCTCATTATTATGTCATCCCGAACGAAGTTGGGGGCGACATATTGCTATTGTACGCATGTTTGTTGTACAAGCTGTTTCTCAGAGATGGCAGGGACAATATTCCTGAAACTTTCTTCAAAGGAGGATCACTTTGCTATTTATTTAAGCTTGTGGTTTTTGTATATTTTAGGAGTAAAACCAGGCACAATTATGTAGAAATTGGTTAGTTATGTTCCAAAGTATGACATAATTAATACTAGTCATATCATACTTTGAATGAAGGGGGCCCAGGGGGCGAAGCCCCCTAAAGCTCTTGGGTTTTTGTGCATTTTAAGAGTAAAACTAGACACAAAAATATTGATATTGTACTAAAGTATGGCAATTTTAATATAATTCATATCATACTTTGAAATTTTAGGGGAGGGGTCATACACATACATGCCTTCCTTAAATCCGCCACTGTATACTTTGTATTAATTTATCGGGAAGTGTAATTCTTTGACAAGAAAATTTATCTTTTGTGGTGTTTAAGAATTGGCTGGTATTTAAAGTGATTCATCACATCTACATCTACTGAGTGCACATTGTAATGTTGATCAACTGACTACAAGTATCCAGTCTGGTAATCTGATTTTAAATATTATTTGGTTCTAAAATGGCGAGCGAAGCGAGCCAAAAAAAATGCTGAATTGAAGATTCTGAGGTTAAATTACATGGAAATAAACAGGTATTTTCACAATATTTAAATATCATAAGTCAAGGTCAAATTATTTATTTTCTTTGCAGAGGAGGACAGATTATTTATTTCCAGCATTTTCAGGGACTGATTATTTATTTCCAAAATCTGCCAGCCCCCCCCCCCCCCCCCGAATCAAATGCTGTATTTAAAATAAATTGGAAAAGGAGAGGAGATTATTGTTTTAACTAGAAAACTGACCAGTCAGCAAGGGCCCCGCCATGGGGTAGAATTAAAAGGGTGCAGCTTACGGAATGATTAAAAAATGTACGAAGAATAAGCAACAGCAACTGTATTCTTAAAATTTCAAGATAATTCCTGAATATTCAAAAACCTGAAAATAATATCCTTGTAATTACATTAGGCAGTAAAGAACAACTTAACATTGAACGTATTAAACAATTATGAAGCTTGTGTTATATAGAATGCCAGCCTTCAATGAATGCAAATATCATGAAGGCTTGACCTTAACTTCAAACATACAGCAGTTGCAGAAAAAGGTTTTCATTAATCTTAAAGATAAAGAAAAGCCTACTAAATTTTCTGCAGCAGGCTAGATAATTGATCCCAAAAGATTAATTGTACCTCTCTCATCATTTTCTTTTAAAGTTACAATAAGAACTTTTTCAGTATTAATGATAGAATGGGTTTTTTATACAACTACCTAAAAAATTAATTAACATAAAGTGAAACCAGAAGTCTCTGTTGAAACTCAAGCTCTACTGGTTTGTACTTATAGCAAAGGAAGAGGAAAGTATTTAAGCAGTTGGGAATTGAAACTTTACACTAGCAAAAGAGAGAATAATGATCCTTGAATAAGTCTCTTTATGTTCTTAGTGTAGTTTACTTGCATGCCACATTATATTATAATCAGATTAAAACTGAATTTGAAGTAGCATTGGAGTAGCATTTTGAAAGAATTTTACAGAAATTTCTATTTTTAGTAACAATGCCAACACCGTTCATCGAAATCAAAAACTGATAAACAGAATTATGTATCTTAGTGTAGTCTACTTGTGTGCCAAGTTATATTGAAATCAGACCAAATTTGTAGGAGGAGTAGCATTTTGAAAGAATTTTACAGAAATTTCTATTTTTAGTAACAACACCAACACCTTTTGTCGAAATCAAAAACCGATACACAGAATTATGTATCTCAGTGTAGTCTACTTGTGTGCCAAGTAATATTGAAATCAGATCAAATTTGTAAGAGGAGTAGCATTTTGAAAGAATTTCACAGAAATTTCTATTTTTAGTAACAATGCCAACACCGTTGGTCGAAATCAAAAACCGATACACAGAATTATGTATCTTAGTGTAGTCTACTTGTGTGCCAAATTATATTGAAATCAGATCAAAACTGTAGGAGGAGTAGCATTTTGAAAAATTGTTTACAGACAGATGGACAGACGGACGGACGCCGGACGCATTACTATCGCATAAGCTCTTCTGGTCTCTGACCAGTAGAGCTAAAAAGTAAATCAAAAAATCTTCTTTAATCTATTTCTTGTTTTTAGAATTCAATGAAATCATAACTATTAAACAAAAATAAATTATAAAAATTTATATCTAAATCCACATTTCACAGTGTTCATAGCATTCCAAATTGACTTAACTTGAAAACAAACTTCATTTACAGACAGAGGTGGTAATTCATCTCAATGTGACAGATAAAGATAATGCTCTGGATTTTCTTCAGGAGGAAAGCTAATTAATCCCAAGGGACTCATAGCCAGCATTCATTTTACAATGGGAACATCTTCACCAGTTATCTCTCTTTGCCAATGCATTCTAAAGTTAAGGAATCTACCCCACCACCACAGCTCCAAACCAGGGGACATAGAGAACCAAACTTAGCATCAAAATATGTATTTCTACCTACTTAACTACCATACCAAATTTGTACTTGATTGGGAAACCATAAAAAAAAGTTGCCCATTCATTCTTATGCATAGTTAAGGAATCTACCCCACCACCCCAGCTCCAAACCAGAAGACATTGAGAACCAAACTTAGCATCAAAATATGTATTTCTGCCTACTGAACTACCATACCAAATTTGAACTTGATTGGGCAACCATAAAAAAAGTTATTAGAAAAAAACAGAAAATTTGTGGACGGAAGAGAGACAGACGGACAGACGGACAGACAGAGTGATTACTATAGGGCACCCGCAAATCCTTGCGGGGCCCTAATAATTATCAAAGTTTCAAAACTTCACGGCCATGCTGTGTTCCTATAGCATAATTTAAACACTCTTAGAGGGGTTTATTCTATTTATTCCCACTTTTTGGGAGTTGAACTATGTTCAATCTCACATGGTCATCATGCATTTAACATGCCCAGTAATTTGTGTTGATCATAGAGAGCCGAAAGCATGGCTAGATGAATAGTCAACTATTCGTTGACATCCCTATGTATATCGATCCATCAGGCACATAAAAAAATGAATGTCACTAGAAATAACTTTGCAAAAGTTATGCCCAAGGTTTTAAGTTGGTTAAAATATTTCAAATATATATATTAGGTAATACTGTTTAACTCCGATGTCATATGGTCAAAGATGTTAATTATTAATTAGTATGTCAAAGAAACATCTTGTGACATTTAGGAATTAATGCAATTGAAATGTGAAAGACCTTAAAAATGAACAAGAGGCCCATGGGCCTTATAGGTCACCTGAGCATCATGCAACAATGTTACAACGATTGAATTTGGTTCATGTTTAAAACAAGAGGACATGACATGACATGCATTCACAATTTTGAAAGAGGCTGTGACCATGGCTCATCATAACTATTAACTGAGCATGCTCAGTTTGGTTACTTAATACCCATAGGCAGAGCAGGAGAACAAAAAATGCATTTCATATGATCAGTAATACTCAGCAATAAGTAGTAGTGCCCCCCCCCCCCCCACACACACACACAGGAAACCCTGACCCTAGGTC